GGGCATGTCAAGAATTAAAGATCCCAGGTCACGGTCCGGTCAGCAGAGCCCGGGAGGACTGTCCGCAGTTCTGGGCTCTTCCCAGAGGACGGCACTGTTCATAACAACAGTTACTATAAAAATGATAAAACATCGATTGAGCAAATACTATCTACCCTGTATTTCTAAGCACTTGATATACATTAACTTTTAAAATCCCTACCTCAACTCTATGAAATGGGGACTGTTAACATCCCCATTTTACAACTGAAAATACTGAGGCATGCTAAGCAACTTGCCCCAGGAAATGGTGGGCCAGATTTCAAACCCAGAGAAGTTTTTTGGCTCTAGAGCCCAGGCTCTTAAACACTTCCATGAACACCGCTGCTTCTCAGGGCCGAGGCGGGGCCCCATCGAAGGCGGTGGACTCTCAGGCACAGCCTTCCCCTTTTCTGGGCGCAGGAGCGCCATCTTCTGTGGAACAAGCAGCTCTACACTCAGGTCAGTGTGCTGGGAGAACCCCACCCGGCTCTGCGGGCAGAACGTCAGTCCGACAGTCCTACGTCAGTGCAACGTCAGTCCTACGCCAGTCCGCCAGTCCAACGTCAGTGCAACGTCAGTGCAACGTCAGTCCTACGCCAGTCCACCAGTCCTTCGCCCGCGCTGGGCCTGGAGGCGCCCGTGGACCCCAAGGGATCGGGCAGCGCTGTGTCTGGTCTGGAGGGAGAGCCGCACAAAGCACAGTCCCGGCCCCGCGGAAGTCACAGTGCTGCAGCCCAGAGCTGAGGACGGTGGGAATCAAGGGCCAGAGCGCTCCCCGGTGACAGAGGGCAGGGCTGAAGCATGCTGAACAAGTCCACAGAGAAATGGCCTTGAGGGAAAACGGGGGGGGGGGGGGGGGCGGCGTGAAAAGAGGGGAGGGTGTGAAACGACAGAGGAGGAGATGAGGGGATCGTGTGCACCTACCTTGAGTCAGACCCCGTTCGGGGCCCCTGATCTCGGGGATCTCAGTCATGTTCTAGGTCACGGTGGTGGACAAGACGAAATCCCTGCCCCTGGCGGAGCTTGCAGTCCAGCAGGGATGACCTGCTTGGGTTTCGTGTTACTGATTCTAAGCCTGGAGTGATGGTTTGAGGCCAGAACTCTCAGGTGCCTTCAGTGCCTGGCTAGGAGTTTAGAATTTTGCTCAGTGACAAGGGGAAGTTTCCATGGAGATTGAGCAGGAGATACTCTGAGAACAAACGTGTCAGGAAGTGCGATCTGGCCGAGCTGCACGGAACCATGGCCCTTGACTGTAGCCTGTCACCGACCCTACGATAGCCAGGCCGTCCCCTCCCCTGCATTTTCTTGTAAGTCTTCATTTTACAGCAGTTTTAAGGCAACGTGGGGTGGGAAGCACAGAGTCCCCACATGCTCGCCACCCCCCAACCCACACCGGTGAGCCAGCGCTGAGACAGCAATGCCACCCTCTTCCAATGAGCACTTCTGTCCTCTCGGGGGACCTCTGGGAGCTCCTGGCCTTTGAGAAGAGAGCAGGACCCAGGACAGTGAGTGTGGCGGCTTCCACATGCCCGGCGCTCACCAGGCCAGCTGCGTGGAACCTCTGGGCCTGCAGCTGGGCTTTGTGAACAGTGGCCTTAATTAGTACTTTGGATGAGATCTCCAACGTGTGGCCGAGACCCAGACCAGGCAGTTTCCAAACTGATGCATCCTTTTCTTGGGTGGCATCAGCTTCCAGCACCACTGGGTCCATGCGTTGGCCTCACCACCCGCCAGGGCTTCTCTCAGGTGCACAGGCCTTGTACTCACGGTGAAGGAGAAGGAGCTTTGGTCCAAGGGGCAGATGGACACTCGGGCGGGGATGCGTGGCCAGGCTGTCCCCATTGCCTGGACAAAGCATTCATCTGGGCCTTGTTTTCACCCGGAAATAAGTTCCTCCACCAACAACATGGGGTCAGCACTTTGCACTGGGAGGGCCCCGCAGACTGTCTGACTGCTCTGAGCGCCCTCCATCCGGGGGAGCTGGGGGGCAGGCGGGCAGGCAGAGACCTCACCAAGAGCACAGTTCACCAAGGCTCAGCAGCAGAGGCCAGTGCAGTTCCTCTTACCATCCAGCGCCCCCCCCTTCAGAACGAGAGGCATGTCAGGGGCCGCCACGCAGCGGCTTGGGAGCGTGGACACTGCGGGCACAGGCCAGGTACCCTCGGTGGAGCTGACCTTCTGACCACCTCCAAGTCATCCTGTTTTACATAGAATTGGGGGGGGGGTTAAGTGTGGCTCCATCCTCAGCACAGCTCTGTCCTGTGGCCCCTCCAGCCTGGAGGACGTGATGGGCACTGCGGCAGGGGCCGCGGCGGAGCGTTAGGACGCTGGGCATGGTTAATGGGGTCCTTTGGCCTCTGGAAGCTCGGCTGGGTGTGTGTGTTGAGGGGGAGGACAGCTCTACCTCCCCTCACAGAAACGCCGGCTGCTCCGGGTCCCACTGCCGAGTGGTGCCAACACACGGCCACCGGCCAGCATCCGGGGAGGAAGGGACGCTGCAGGTCTGGGCTGAGCCCGGCTCAAGGACAAGACTCAGGGACAGCCTGCTGAACAGGAAGCGTTTTGCGAGTGGAAGGAGTTCAAGCCAACCAAATAAAACGTATAAAGAGCATACTGTGTGCTGAAGACAGTGGACTTGGGATGCCTTCAGGCTGCCGATGGCGGAGCTGGGCTTGGCAGGAGCCCTGGTGGTGCAGGAGCTGAGCAGCAGGGGCGGGAGGTGCAGGCGACACCTGAGTGGAGCCCGAAGGTTAAGGGTGACTTCATGGGGCGGGGGGGGGGTGTTATGGGAGCAAAGACGAGGGGTGAGGAGGCTCAGCTCGTCTGGGGGGACAGGCTCCGGTGACAGGGCAGAGGCCACACAGAAACTGGGGGCTGAGGTGGTTGGAGACCATCGTGTGGAGGCCTTCAGTGCCGTCCTAAGGAATTTGGAAATTGAACGCAAAAAAATGGGAATTTCGCAAGGATTCTGAGAGGGAGGGTATGGGCACATTTATGTTAGGAGAGTCCAGGTGAAAGTGCGGAAGGCGGACTGACTAGAGGAAGATTCTGGAAGCAGAGGTCAGGCCGTTCTCCGTCAGCGATCCTGAGCGCTTCCGACATGTTAGGGCTCACGTCACTGCTGCGTGGATTCCGGCAGAAGACACAGGACTGGGTCAGGGGCGAAGGGCTGGATCGCTCGTGGCAGGGAGGGCAGCGTGGGTGTCGGCATGCGTGACAGTGTCCCCAGGGCCCCAGCCCCAAGGGGTGTGGGGAAGGTGACATGGGCCCGGGGGGGTGCCGGCATGCAGCTGAGGTACAACACAAGATCCACCTTTCTTGGCAGGTACAATCGAGAGCAAGCTTGTGCTCCGTGCCGGAGGGATGGGCACCTCATCCCTCGAGGTTACCTGCTGCAGACACGAGCCCTGAAAAGGCCGGGAAGGAGCAGCCAGGGCCTCGACGGCGGCACACACGTCTAGCGAGGGGTGCAGGAGCCAGAGCGACCGAGGGGAGTCGCCCCACGCTGTGCCTCAGGGCTGCGGGGACAGCTGGTGGGGACAGCTGGCGGGGGGGTGTGGGAAGGGGCCTCAGCAGTGCTCTGGAAGACCCAGGACGACCAGGGGTGCCAATAGGGAGGAAAGCAGTAGGCCGGAAACTGTGTCACTTTAAAAAATTGAAAGAAGTAGTTCGACTAACATTTATGGAATGCTTACACATGCTAGGCGCTGGAGACAGCAGTGACCAGAACGAAGCCGCTGACCCCCAGGCCCTTCCGTCCTGGTGCAGGCAGCAGGCAAGCCAGTGGGGAGTACGCTGCCTGGGGCCTTGCCGACCCCGCTAAGCTCCTGGGGCTGACTGGGCGTGCTCTGTGCAGAAGCACAGCATGATCGAGTCTACGCTATCCAAACAGTGCTGTCTGGAGACCCGACGGAGGCGGAGGGTGCCGCTGGTGAAACCACAGAAGCAGAGACCAGTGAAGGAGACAAGGCCAGCCCGGCCGGATTGTCTCAGGCAGCAGCTGTGGGGGCACTCACGCCCCTCGGCCTGCCGCGGCCCAGCACACCAGTGGAAGGTCTCGGAACACTGGGCAGTGCTGAAGGCCACCGGCCACGGAAGCGCACCCAGCGCCCACTGGTTGTCATCCCACGGGCTGCTCGGGGTCTGGAGGGAGAAGCCGGACAGCAGCAGGGGAAGAGCAAGTGCACTCAGTGAGTGGCAGACTCGCTGCAGAAGTGTGCCCTGGAGGAGAGGTCTTGGGACCTTGGAACAGTACTTGTTCCAACACGCTAAGAGTTAAGCCTGTTCAAATGCCACAGGGACTAGAAGGAAGGGGTTAGCCATGCAAGGGATGGCGAAGCAAGGTCCCGAGAGGGTGGGGAAGGCCGGCGAGCAGAGTGAGAGTGCCTCTCCCAGGAGGAGAGAAGGCTAAGAACTCCAGTGGGCGTGTGGATCTACTGGCCACAACGTCTCCCCAGGGGCTTGGGAGGGGTGGCCCCCATCTTCTCCTTGAAACGGGAAGATGATCCAAGAGAGTGACGTTAGGAACTGGGGGTCATGGAGGTGGTCAGAGGTTTGGGAATTTCTGGCAGGGAGGATGGCTGGGAAAGCACAGGTGGGGAAGAAAAGGGCCAGGTGGGACCTTGGGAGGAATGGTTCCCACCACAGGTAAGGAGAAGGCTCAGGAGCCTGGTGGTGGCCGACAGCCAGGGTTGGGGGGGGGGGGCAGTGACAGGGGCGGTGAGGCAGAAAGGTGCCAAGGCTCAGAAGGTCAAGTGGGTGGACCGGGCCCCAGGAGGTCCTGGGGAGGCCGGAGGCCGGGCAGAGAGGCTGAAAGCAGCCCGTGGAAACAGCACAGGAACGGCCAAGCCCGAGGCCCCCAAGGGGCGGGAGCCAGAGGGCTTCGCACTCAGGAAGAGCTACTGCTTGCCGCCGCCTTTCTTCATCTTAAGTCGAACGTGGAGCCACCAGGGGGACGGATCAACACACACAGGCCAAGGGACGGTGTTTCTCTCTTTTATTTAAAAACAGTGCTTCATTACCATTGGCAAAGGCAGAGGCGGAGCTCTCCCTTTGCTTAGAGTTTATAAAAGCCAGCAACATGATCAATAATTTATACACATGGATAGTAATACAAAAAAATAAGGAATAAAAGCTAAAGATCTAACTACTCCGACCTTCACAATTCCAGCTACTTGATAATAATAGGAGTAACCCAATGAATACTGTACGGTCTGAAAGCTACTATACAATATGATTCTTAACGAGGGGTGGGGGTGGGGACCGGAGACTGTCGCAAAGCCCTGGGGTGCTTCTCTGGAGCTGGCAGGGAAACAGGACCCTGGGCAAGCAGCTCGGGGGTCCCAGAAAGTGGTTCCGGGGAGCGGGGAGGGAGAGAAGGCGAGGCGGTCAATTATATAAGCATCCCATGTGATGCCCCCACGCCCCGAAGGTACCTGTGTCTGCCATGGCAACGGGAGGGGCCGGAGAGACTGCCTGCTGCATGTAGGGGTGGTTCAGTCCCTGCCATGTGGGGGGAGGTGGCGGGGCGGGGGGAGAGGAGGAGAAGTTCTGTGGCGTTTTCAGCCTTGCAAAGGTTTGGGCCGAAGGGCCCGAGACGCAGGCGGGCGGGCCTGTGGGGGGCAGCGTGCGCCCCGGCTCTCACGCTCCCCAGGCCTCGCTCCCGTGGGCCGGCCCCAGGCTTGCTCCAGCCTTTCACAAGCAGAATCGTAACACAAGAAAAACAACTCATATCCCTTAGGGGGAAAAGTGGATCAATTCATCACTCGATATATAATACAGCCGAAACGAGCTGCCAAAACAAGCACACACACACACAAATACTGTGAACAGAAAAATACAAGGAAACAACCGCGCTCAGGGTCTCGGTGGGGTCTAGGCAGCGCTTAAAGCACGCAGGCCCCGGGGAAAACCAAACCAAAAAACAGCTTTAAAAAACCCAGAAACTCATGGCCCCCTGGGAGTCTGGTGTCGGTAACGGGGGCACGGGTGGGGAGAGGAAAGAGAACCGGGGTTCCCTTCCTGCCTGCCGGCGTGAGCGGAGCCCTTCCTGCCACACCGGCACGCACGCATGTGGCCGCCAGCCGGAGGCCCGCGCCCCTCGCTGGTGGCCTCCTTAAAGGCAAGGTGTGAGTGTTGGCTGACGAGCAGTCCCCTCCGTTACCAATCCCTGCCAACCAGCACTACCATGGCTGAAGTGATCGACCGTTTTCCTGAGTAAACTGTAACTGGCTACAGTGCCGGCAACGTGGACGAGAACTCAGCCGCTACAGCCAGCCGCCACACTCCAGGACTGCTCCCCGCCCCGGCTCCTCGTGCGGTCCAGGGATTTGGGAACCCACCGCAGCCTGCTCTGCAGGTCTCGTTTCCCAGTCAGGCCCCAGGGACTCCACCACACTCACTGGGCCAGAGAGCATGCGCCGGCTCGGGACACCCAGAGCCGACCGGCGGGGGCCCTGCTTCGTGCTCTAGCTCTTGGATGGCTATTGCCTGGTTGATCAGTGAAGCAAGTATGAAGGAAGTACAGAGGAGAGGGCGAAGGGAGGGAAGAGGCTTTTAGATAGTCACATTTAAAAAAACGTGTTTTATGCAACAGAGAATCAGGTCTCACAGGTGGGTATGCACTACGGATGGTCAGACATGTTCAAGAGCATGACAAAGCAAAAACACAAATTCACGCTTGATGGTTGCCTTGCCCACTATATTCTTCCTACCTTAAAACAGTGCAAACAGGTAACATATGCCTTTAAAACCCCACTAATCCTTGCCCACCCCCCGAAGTCCCTTTCCTCCTGGTACCTGGGGCGGGGGGGGGGAGCCTGCCATTCTGCACGTGTTGCTGTGCCAGAGGGCTGCAAGCAGCAGAGAAGTGGCTGGACTCGAGGAAGGGGAGGGTCTGGTGCCCCATTTCCCTCCTCACACACCTAGTGCCTTCCAGACTGCCGCCCCCTCGCTCCCTCGCCCGCTCTCCTGCCGGAGGGAAGAGGGAGGGATCGAGCCCTTCCCGTGCAGACCCTTGGAGCTGCTTCCGTCCCCGGCCTCCACCTCCCTCCCGTCTGGAAGCTGCGTGCCTAGTCTTGGGGTGATGGCGATTCACGGACTCATCTGCTGTATCTCTAGGAAAGTGTAACCTAAACTAAGAGCAGTTTCAGCCCCTGAGGAGTTGCACTTTTGAGCAGAAGCTAGCGCTATCACTCATTTCTAAGAAAGAGATCTCCACTAGCTCCCCTCAGACTAAGAGTTCAGCCCCAGCCCCCTTCTTTTTCAAGGAAAAGTGAAAGCAGCCTGATTCTGACCGTGGCTGTTGATGGGTCGTGGTGAGGGCGGGTCCTGTAGACCCGAGTGCCTGAAGAACCAGGGGTCACCGTGGCTGATCCGGGTTAACAGGGCCGCACTGTGTAACACCAGGGATTCTGGGAGAGACCTAAGGGCCGCTGTCTGGGCTGAAAGAGGCAAATTCAGATAAAGGTTTCCACTCCAGTCTCCTTGAAGGAGCCCAGCTTCTATCTACGAGTAAGGTTCTCAGCACAGAGAGTTCGCACGAGGAGCTACAGAGAGCTGCTGGAATCATTCCTGCGCTGCGGTTCGCCACCGGTAAGCGTTTCGGAATTCTCGCCCGGCGCCCTCTGACAAACTCACAAGATGCCTGACTCTCTCCTGACTGTGGCTTAGTCCAGTGGGAACCCGAGTCAGGAACCCACGAGCACTGACGCTCTGAGGAACCTGCCCCTGACAGAGCCTCAACGCTCAAGGTAGAGGGGAGGTGGACACCGTCAATCCAGGGCCTTCCAAGAGCCCCGGTTCTCAGTGCCGACGCGGGAAACCGAAGGCCCTTCAGGGAGGCGCGGAACTCTGTTTTGTCCTTCCCAGGAAAGGGAGCCGGAGGGCGCAGTCCTCCCGGCACCCGCCAGTGCAGCGGAAGCCCACCGGGACGCACGGCGTTTGCCCCCGGACCCTCAGCCAGAACCAGCGGAACGGAAACGCACAAGAGGTGCCTCAAGCTCAAGCTTCTGCCTCCTCTAAAGGGGTGTGGAAGCCGCCTTCTCCCCCCTTCCCACCACCCTCGTCGCTTCCTGCAGAGAAGAAGGGAAGACTCTCGAACTCACCGCCTCGCTCTCCTCCCCGCTGCGGGCACGACGGTCTAGAACGTGGCCCTGTCCCCACCCAGGAGTGCCCTGCCATTTTGTGAGAACGGCCCCTCTTTGAACACGACACAAAATTTCCATCAGTTTTTTATAGTCAGTAAAAGCTCTCCCTCAAAACAAAAACAAAAACAAAAAAAAAAGAAAAAGAAAAAAGAAAAATTCCTCCCTGCCCCCATTCTGAACTGTGAAAGCCCCACTCCCCCACCCCCAACTAAAATATTTATATACATACAACAAAAATTGTCTTAACAGCAACAAACCAAACTTTGGCTTGGGGAGGGGAACCCTTAAAACGTGGCCAGTGGGCTGGGCAGTGGGGTACCCCCGTCTTACGCATTTCTCTCCACGATCAACGAGAACTGCACCGCGGCCTCCAGCACCCTCGCCGTTCCCAGCCTCAGGGCTGGCACCTCCCGTTACCAGCAGAGACAGGTTCCGAGGGGGAGGCCTGCGTGTTACATGCGACACGCCGCCTGAACTCAGAGACATGCATGCATCAGGAGCCCGCCGAGAACGTGCGGAGGCAGGAGTGGGAAAACAGACCCAGACCAAACCCGAGGCACACCCAAAGGTCCGTGTCTCTGAACTGCGCCCTTGACCAGCTCTCCCTTGGGTGAAAGGTCACCCGAGTACCAATGTGAACAGACCAGGGAGCCAAACAGACCGTGCTTTTCCTATTTCCTAACGCCCTCACTTGGGAACTGCTACAGGACCCTTGCCTTTACCATCAACAGCCAAGAGCTGGGAGAGAAACGCCTCCTCCCCTACCTTGGTCACACACGCGAAGTTGAAGCCAGGGAGCAAGAGCAGTGACTTGCTGCCACGCCGCCTCCGCCCCTCTGCACTTCACGTCCCGCAGCGTTCGTGCGCACCAAGCGGTCCAGGAGCTCACGGGGTGTCTTTGGAGGAGAGGAGAAGGTGGGCGGGGTGGCCACGAGGGCTCAAGACCGGGGAGAGAAGTGACTCACAAAGGCTCGGGACGACGAGAATTCCTATGGCTTTGGAGCTGGTACAAAGTGCCTCTGCCTGCCCTCGCACGCCCGGGCGACCGCACGGCCAGGGACAGCTGCCTAGGACTCGGCACTTTATCTTGTGCCAAGAGTCTTTATTAATATGTCTTATGCTTTGTACTGACTTTCTGGTGAGAGAGAGAGAGATATCGGGGAGATCAGAGTGCCTAATATCCTTTTTCTTTCCTTTACCCTCTGCACTGGCTCTCGACAATTTGTCCTTCATCCTCAAGCCACACGTGGGAGGACATCTGGCCACTGGCTCTGTGGTTGTTCTTCTGTCCCTGGGCCCTAAATCCCTGAATCTTGAGGACATGGGAGCAGGGTGTTAATAAAACGATGGATGGGCTAAGCTGTGGTTCAATTAGAAGGGAAGAAGCCCGGCAGGAATGCTAGGATGGCAAGAAAGAAAAGAATCTTTTTCATACTCCAGAGTTCATTCTGAGATTGGTTTCCTAACGAGGTGTTTATTATCCACAGTCTGAGAGCATGTTTGGAAATATGAATACTATAATTCCAAAAACTACGCCAACTCTCTCAGGCTGTGCGTTTTAAGATGATTGTAAAAAGAATGGAGAAGACAGGAGGGAAGAGGAGAGGAAAGTGTCTTTTTAATTCTCCTGCTTTGCAAGCACACATTCCTATCATCTTATCGGCGTGTGGATTCCAGCCACAGCCGATCAGAACTGCCTGCCAAAGACCGGAAACTCAGAAGACTGGAAGAACATCCTGTCGCAGAAAGATCTCTTCCACTTCTGCCCGTGCCCCCGCCGTGCAGCGCCAGACGCACTTTGGTAACTCTGTCTGCTGATTTCTGATCAGATGCGCTCCTCAGCTCCTACCGTCTCTCCTCCGTCATTAACTGCCTCTTCCGTGATTGACAGAATAAGCTAAGCACGGACATACAGACATGGAAATGCATTTTTTTTTTTTACCACAGTTAAAAAAAAAAAAAAGAAAAAAAAAAAAGAAAAAATGCACAATCTTTGGAACAAAAGAATTAAAGGCAGAAATTTAAAGGAAAAATACATATTCAAAGAACATAGTGAGGTATAAAAAAGTATTCTCTCTTTTTTTGTGTTTTTTTTTGTTTTGTTTTGTTTGTTTGTTTTTCCTCTTCATCTTGCTATAGAGTTCCTCTACTAGTAAATATTGCAATAGCCAGGCCTCATGAACTGGGGGCTGTCCCATTTGCAGGGGTCTCACGTCACTTCAGTAGGGGGCAAATCGGCTGTAGCCACCTCGGTATAAACTCGCCTGCAGTAATTAAAGACAAAAACAATTAAATGGTCGATGAGAGAAGCATTAAGAATGAAGAAAAATGTCCTGAGAAGGGGTTTGGCACAGCAGCCTCCTTAGAAGCTTCAGAGCATCTGGCCGGAGGCTGCCCGGGGCAGTGAGGGCAGGACGCCCACTTCTTGCTTCTGAGATGCTCGGGCCAGAGCGCCGAACGTTCTTGCTAACCTGATCCTCTCAAGGGGAGGGTACGCTGCTGGTTCATATCACTGTTACGTGAATTAGCGCAGAAGGGAAAGTCGATACAGTTTGAAATTAGGCCTGTAAATACTCTGATTTTTAAAACCACGGGTCTTTTCACCTTGACTGCATCACTGCAGTTGGGACCCTCTTACACATTACTGCCGACAGAGAACATGCTACTTCTGACCGCTCTCTCTGTCGTACCCCACCCTCTGAGAGTGTTGGATTTAAACCTGAATCAGTCTTTCAACTAACAAAGCCTCTCTCCTCTATAATCTATAAGATACACCAATAAGTTGTTTCTTGACATACCCGAGTTTACATGTACATGTAACTGGGGCCTTAACTGGGCTTTACTCCTGCATTTTACCCTTACCTAACAGCTTCTCTTTTTCATAAAATATCCCTAGGAACACAGTGCTCTTTGGTTTATTCTTTTTAGTACAAGACTTGAGTCATGTTGGCCCTAGATAATATGCTAGGAACTTCATCACTTTCTTTATATTGTATGTCTCTACCTCAATTCTGCACACCCCCCCCTCCACCCTCCACGCAGGACCTGTCGCTTCCTCCCACAAATCTTCGCCAGTGGAAACCTGGTGTGAGTCAACGACAGGCTCCCTCCTGCTCTTTAAGTCTTACATCTGACCCATCACTCCGCCTCCCCCTCAAAAGCCTCTGTCCACGTGCCCAGGCAGCGCCCAGCTGCCTTTCGGACTGCAGCGTCTTTCTGGCAATGGCACGTGTCACTGCAGAAAGGCCTTGTCTTTGCTGGAGCAAGTGAGCCCGGTCGCTGGACCCAGACTGTCCAGCCTGACACGGAAACACTGAGGTGGGGACTGGGGTTCAGTTTGTGCGGGGCGGGGGTCGTCGGGAAGAGCTCTGTATGTCTACGAAAAGACCCTGCTTTCCCACAGGCGTCCCTAATAAAACGTCTCTGTGAGCCGATAGATCGATCGCTAGGTGGTCTACAGGACTATCTACCGGAAGACTTAAGAACAGCAGGGACGACCTTTGGCACCTGCATTTCAAAGTCATACAAAACAAGTTTCTCGAAAGGCTATTTGTGAAAACTGCAGAGCCTCATGCCTGTGCTAACGTCTATCAATAGAACTATGCCACAGGGACGCACCCAACATTCGAGCCAATGGGAAACATCAATCTGCCCCTGCTTTCTCACCCAAACAATGCCGTGACTCAGGGCAGACTATCACTACGCAGCCCTTTCTGCTGTCCTTGACCGGCATGTGTGGCTCGCACTAGGGAACCCAGGGAAAGAAAGTGATATGAACTTTCCAGACAGTTCTATGTGGTTTAATACTGTGGCAATGGGAGAAGGGCTAAAGGTACTACCTCCCTAGATCTTTTTTAGTCTGCAAGTAAAAGTTAGAAGGAGTAAAATGTTTTTACAGAAATTGTACATATACTCACCACAGCGCCAACTCCATAGCTAGCGGCAGGGGCCAGGGCATGATAGGGGTCAGCTGTGTACACCCTGCCATAACTGGAAAGAAGAGGTACAGTCAGGGAGGGGAGGGAGAGGCAGTGACCCCCCGAAACAAAAGGGCTCACTATACTAAGGGCTTGTGAGTGACTCGGTCTTGGAGTGTTATCAGGAAGCTGGCAGAATGGAAAAAACCTTTCGATTTCTACTTCTAAACGCAGTTCTCTGAGATTCTGAAGTACTTCTCAGAAATGGAAAAGATGGGAGCTGGAGGTGACAAAGGGGGACTAGGGTCAAAAGAGCCAGGGCCACACGCTTTTGGCGTGCCAGAGGCCACAAGGGGAAGGCCCGGTCTGTGGGTAGCCCCAGGTGCCGGTTGCGGTTTTCGAAGGGGGAAGGGCGGCGACACTCCGGGCGGCGTACGTACCCGTCGCTGTAGGCGGCAGCGGCGGCCGCAGCAGCGGTGGCTGCGGTTGCAGTGGCAGGCTGTGCATACCTATAGGCTGCGTATCCGCCCTACAGGAGAGAAGAGAACTGACTTTACAGCTACCTCTCCCCCGGCAGCACAGGTGAACACACACCCACCCACACGCAGACAGACAGACACGGGGGGCACGAACACAGACACACACGTGGGGAGAGGGTGTTTCAAACTGCATCCGTCTGCATGTTATTCCTCCAGTGCAAGAGAGTGAGCCCCATGCAGCACAGGGCCTGGCTGTCCAATTTGTGACAGTGACAGAAATAAGCCGTCTTGGTAGTACCTGTTCTCAAATTTGAGAGATGAAGACATGGGTTTCTGTCTGTCTTCAGTCTCTGCTGGGGCTTTCAACAGGGCAAATATTTACGGGAAGTTGGGAGAACTTTGTCTGACTGACAGAGAGCATGAGCTGCAGAATGAAAATATATTAGGCTTGTATGTGTTACCTTCAGCCTCCCCGATGCACACTCAGACTGCCTGACTGCTGAGAGACTACAGCCGGTGACACAGGCCCCGCCCAGAGCTGTGCTGCATCAGCCTCGCGTGTCTGTCAAGGGGCTAAGATAGGCAGTGTTTAGAAGGGAAAACCAGGCTAGACCAGGGGCTGGCAAACTTCCGCCTGCGAGCCCATGTAACTCGGAGCCTGTTTCTGAGACTGTGTGGCCTACAAAACTGAAAATATTTACCGCTCAGCCCTCCATGGAGGAGTCTGCTGACTCCTGTCTGTATTTCAGACTCAGGCAGATCAGACTACAGGAGGCTGACGCCCCTTTGGCCAGATTCAAACAGACTGAGAATCCCCCACTCCCAGCATCTTACTGCATTAAAGGATTCTGCATTCTCACATCCTGTCTGAAGAGCAGGCTGGGGGGCTTTCCTCCCAATGACTCACACAGCGTCTCAGTCCTTAGGACACTTCGCCCCAGTCTCGATGAGCCAAACGCTGCCCAGGTTCTCCCTGCCGGCGGACCACGAGTCCTCCAGGAAGCAGTGCACAGGAGGACAACCACACAGATGCCACGAGACAGGCTGCTGCCAAGTGGCAAGCCCTACCTTTTGTTTCTTCTTCACCCTTCTAGAATTCATCTGTTTTATCCAAATGTGGTTCGGGTGTGAGTTTTTATCACTGCCGTTTCCCATGAGACATGGCTACGCTCAGCTGGCCCGCTCCGACAGCGTTTCCGGAGGGCGTGACCGCGCACCGTGCTCCCGCGGGCTAGTGCGCCCACTGCTGCAGACACCTGCAGCTTCCTGCCCCGCGCTCGCCGCTTCCTATTCCTTCCAACGCTCAAGTTTGGCTAAATTTACGCAAGGAATTCCACCTTTCCTTCCGTATGTCTTAGGAACAGTAACAAGCATTTTCTAGTGGGACCCTTGCTCTTCTCAGCCATCTGATGTGGCAGCTCCCAGCCTGTTGCTTTTATTTCTGGACTCTTACTTTGGAAATATCTGTCATCTCTTACTGGCTCTAAAGCTTTTTGCTTCCTTCTTATATAATTTATGCTTTCTCTAACCAAAGAAACTGCACTGTGGAAGGAAATTCACTCTCGCTTTTTAAATGTATCCGCCTGAAGTCATTGATAGTAGCCTCACGTGAGCATTAAAAAATCCCTGATTAGCTGTCAGTGGTTATGTGTTATTCCTTCGCTGTTCTTCAAGGAAAAGACTCGGAAAAGTAAACACATACTTCTCAACCACCAGTTCTTTTGCGGACACTCATGTGAGCAGGGCCACGCTCACTCGTAGCACCGCACTCGCGGTGATGGGGCAACGACAGGGCCGTGGCAGCCAGCGCCGTGGGAACGGGCAGGCCAGACCGACCTGGGCAAAGCCGCGAGCACCTCCCGGCTGCAGCATGTGCACGTATGTGTTACGTAGGGTTTTCTTTATTTCTTTTTTGAATGTTGAGAGAGGAAATAAAGCAATAAAAGCATTTGTTAAAGCAACAAGCTAATAATTGTAGTTGGAATTTTAAGCTTTAAGCGAACCATAAAGGTTCCATTTTTCATTGTAACAAGAGCTGGCTCCATAAATTTCGAGTTAAAGTTTGCTACCTTGAAGTCTACAGCGGGGTGATCTTCGGTAAACCGTCTCTGTAAACCAGGAGAGCGTGGTAAACCAGCCTCACGTGGTTTGTCTCTCACATTCCCTCAAAAACCAAAATGATCTTTAAAAATGTAAAAAGTTGAGGTAATAAAAGCAATTCAAGCCCGACTTCTGTTTTCTTGAGGAAGACACTCACGGACCAAAGCTCTGGGCCGTGGGGCGGTTAGCCTCCCTGCAACAGAGACCCCGGGGGGTGCGGGACCCCAGCGCGGCCCTGAGCTGCACTGCACCGTCTCTGGGAAGAAAGCTTCTGAATGAGGTTCCCCACAGACCACTGCCCCTCAGGCTGTGGGAAAGAAGCTTCTTTCCAAGCCAGAAGGAAGTGGACTGAATCTGTCTACAGAGTCTCCCTTTATTATATGTGAACTCTGAACTTGGGGGTTGGATTTGATGGCATTCTCTGCTGTTCGATTTCAGGAAAACAGGGCAGGGGCACAGATATTTTACAGACGAGAAAAGGCTCATGAAGAACATCAGCTTTGAGAAAAACCACATTAATGCTTTTTTTTAAACAACGTAATATTTCAACATGAGTACTTTCCTAATTACTTTATGATAATGGTGTTACTGAGAGGCCTTTCAAAAGGGGTCTCTGTGTGTGGGATGGGCGGGTAATAATCCTATTAAATGAATTTGGTAACTCAATGATGGCTAACCCTGAGTTAGGAAAACTAAGTTGTATGTCATGGATTTACTCTTCTTAGTAGTCTTACTGCAAAGTATTTCTGTTCCTGCTTTTTTAAAAAAGATTTTATTTATTTATTTTTAGATAAGGGAGGGAGAGAGAGAGAAATATCAATGTGTGGCTACCCCTCATGTGCCCCCTACTGGGGACCTGGCCCACAACCCAGGCATGTGCTCTGAGTGGGAATCGAACCAGCGACCCTTTGGTTTGCAGGCCAGCACTCAATCCACTGAGCCACACCAGCCAGGGTTCTGCTTCTGCTTTAAACTGGTTATTCAACAAACTGCATCGCATAATATAACAAAGAAAATTCAGATGTACTTATTCCAAATTAGGAGTGACTGAAGATTCCAGGCTGAGACACTTTTCTCAATATCTGGGAGATCTGAAGTCTTTTCGTAGAACATGAGAACAAAGTGCAGTTTGAAACACCACGGTTTTCATTACTGTTTCTTAAGTTTTTCAAAAAGAACAAGGGTGGGGAAGGGGCTAGGAGAGACAGGGTTCAGGCGTGGGGAGGGGACATGGCGCCACATTTATTAATCACATTAAAAACTAAGCATGCCAACATCTGGAGCTAAAACAACCAGCAAAACCACCACGTTCAGACTCGTACTGGCTAACTCTATCTATCCCAGCATTCTCTTGGGACAGCGGTTCGCCCTAGGCTCTACCACAAGCTCGGTGAAGTACACAGCCTCGATTACTAGAGCGTGCAGCCACAACGACCTGGCATTACGGAGACAGTCAGTCACCACTGGAGTTAACATTCCATACCCTAACGACGGGCCCCTCCCCAGCCCGGAGAAATAGGAAATCTTGCCCACCCGAGCCCTGGCCCACACCACAATGTTAATAATTATAACAAGCAGTAACCCATCTGTTATATCAGAGAAGGGAACAGAGACTCCACTGAGAGATTTAGAGTGAGATGTTAACATTTCTTCAGCTGACTGCACAAACAAACAAACAAAAAAAAAAGAGGAGAAATAATTCATCGGGAGATATGAAGTCATGAAGTAGCCGATGTGTACTGCTTTGAACCATGCACCGATGCAGAACTGAAGCAACCATTAATAATAAAAAGTAAAAAGGACATATGTATTTACACACAATCAGACCTGTTGGATCTGAAGCAGTTTGCAGATTCTATCTGTGTGTGATTTGAAATAAGACAAAAAATGGGGATTAGCATGGCCACAGCACACCCTAATGTAGGAGGGCACACGCGGACAGCTTTTTGGGACCCCGACTGCCGGGTGAATTTGGCGTGGCTAGGCCTGATCCAAACATACACGTGCCCCTTTAAAAATAATTACTTTCTCGTTCCCTTGAACTCTTTCTGAAGGACTCCTCATCCCCCACGCTACGCTGCTCCCCGGCTCCACCTGCTGGACCCTGCCGGGACTCAGTCCCGTGGCACCTGTACGCTGGCCGCCTGTCAACACCCTACGTTCTGCGCACAACGCTCTTCTCAAATGTTTCCTGTTGGAGCATCGTGTCTTTTCACACAGCCACAGCCTATCTCTGCCTTCAAACTCCAGGTTTTTCAGAGGAGAACGCTGTTACCTTTAAGATCCTTTCGTTGTTGTTAAAGTCTCTGTTTTCCACGGCTCAGTGTCACCTCCCACGGACTTTCTACTGCCCTCGGCCCCACCTGCCATCTGACTGGCTCTGCAGCACTGCTGCGCTGCCCAGAGGGCTGTGCGAGAACAACTGGAGGGGCTCCACACACTGCCCCTCCTGCACCTGACCTGCGCCTGCCACTCTGTGAGCTTAACGTCACACTGGCAGACTTCCCCCTTGTGTTGATTTTAACCTAGCCGCTAATGTTCTATTTTTGTTTCTGGTTTACATTAAAATGGGACTTTGGTGAGCATGTGATGTCAAGACACCTCCGTTCTACCTGGAAGACAATGACATCACGTGACGTTGAGGAGCAGCGTGGACTTTACAAGCAGCAGACAAAGTGAGAGCCGCCCCCCTGCCCCCGCCCCCGGGGTGCAGACTACGGAGCCGGAGGAGGGGGGCGGGTGTGTGGGGGCACGGCAGGTGCGGCGCCGGGCGTCGCTGCAGCAGAGAGCCTGCCAACAGCCGTGCACTGAACGTGGGGCCTCTGCGGCTCACGCATTCGTCCCGGCCCGACTCCAACCCCTCCACCCCCTCGCCTCCTCCCCGCCCCGCTGAGGAGTGCTGCTCTCCACTGTTCCCCTGTGAGCGGCTCCTGCGGAGAGTTCTTACGTGGCAACATGGCACCCTGGCTCCAAGGTGAGTAAGACAGATGCACAGAAACTTACGAGAGTAGTACTTATGAATAAAATTAAATTTAAAGTACTTAAATTTTCTCTTATTACTATTTAAGATTGGGGTTAAGAGAAGAAATTGCTACAATCAAAATGTTCTCTCTCACTCATTACTTCTAAGATGGATGAGAGATCATCGTTAATGAGCTGAACCTCTCCAACACTCGACTCTTCCACGTTTCCCCATGGTCCTTCATTCCCAGAATCTCTCTGGATAGCTACATAAACAAACAAACTGAATTATGAAAAGCTGTCCTGGCATCCAGCTATCAGCAGCAGCAAACCTTCTAGTCGTGCATTATTACCCAAATGAACTCACTGATCCTGTTCAAGGTCAAAGGAAAGTGGAAGGGAAAGACATGTTTCCTTTTTGGAGTCCCAGCATGTCTAGATTTTGAAGGCAACTTCAACCTTATGTAGCAGCACGGTCCAATTACTACTGGGATCCCGCTCCAGGGCCCGGTCTGGGATCCAGGAGTCCTCTTTGGACAGGGCCTACTTCCTCCCTTTCCTCACTCCTTTCACAGTAAGGGAACACCCCCACCTGCGAAGGTCTCCAGATACAAAAGACCGGTTTACACCCCATTGTTCAACGTGATTGACAGACTAGAAGAGGTGGCAGTGATGGGACAGTACATTAACACGCCCGGTGCAGATATGTGGCAATGGGACAGGGGCACTCAGTTTTGGAGGCAGTGCCATCATGTGTGAACTTGACTATGTGCACTGCTTAGGCAGCAGGGCTTAGATCACACGCTCACAAGCCTTGATTGTCCAAAAAGCCTCTGTTCCCATCTCTAACGTGGAGCCGGAATGGTTAGTATAATTCAATTTTTTTCACTGCAATCCACAATCTGATTGATTGGCAGGTCACACTGGCACTCCTACCTGAGGTATTTTAGCGCTAATGATTGGTTCCTGTAAGACTATTCTATAACAGAACACAGGAAGAGCAGTTCAAAAACACAGCTGTGGAAGGAAAACAATCATACAAAAGCCCACTAAGGGGCCCACCAGCCTTTTCTTTCCTTTGGATGCAAGCATGCTTTTCAAGGATGAGCATTAGGAGCAGTTTGTTACCCACTGGAAAAAAAATGAGGGGAGGGTGGATACACGCTCTACCTGCTATGCTCCCAACCCTTCTGGCGGGGGGGGGGGGGGTGTCACTTTACAAAGTCCAGGCACAACTGCTAGATCAGTTCTGCAAAGGAGAATGTGCCACAGAAGAGACAGACAGGGAGAAAATGGCAGCAGGGGTTATGGCCTAAGAACAGACAGGGAAAAGAATTTTTAAAAACCTCCACAATAATGGCCTACATTAGTACAATGAAACCAAACCAGCAACTCAAACTCTTTCCCTTCACATCCTCTGTCAGGTTCAGCGGGTGTTCTATCCTAGATAAGCCTCCACTCTCTCCACGTCTAACCTGCCCTTCTGAGAGCATGGGAGCTAGACGTACCTCCGTAGGGTTCCGCGGGTGGAAACACGGACACAGAGAAGCAGAACAAACTCAAGGTAAAACAACAGTCTCCGTGTGTGTGTGTTTTTCAGACACATCTTTGCCCCCTCACGTGTGGAAGAGGGAGTATGAAGTTTTGAGAGATACAGCCATGTCAGGCCTCACCCACAGCTACCTCCCAATGTATTCTCACTTTCCACTAGTGGGTACGGAGATTATCGCGGCCCTAGTGGCCAACTTTTTCCTGCAAGTAACTGCTTTAAGATGGGAACTAAAAGAATAATAACAACATTATTATTCATTCTTTTCATCAACAAGGGGCCATGGGTCAAAAATATATTTTGGTAAGGTCACTGAATTCCTGTCATTTAGCTTGGTATTGTAATCCAGTAAGTAGATAAAAAACAAAATTCAAGAGTATTTTCTCAGCAAGTACAGAAAAGTCATCTCTCTTAATGAAACCACATGCTGTGAACTAAGGAAATGAGAGAACTGTCAACAAACATTTGGTTGGTTGACTTAACAAGGTATAAGTAGGCCAACCCTATGAGGCAGAAGCAAGCCATACTTAAAAAATCCCCAAATATGGAACATATGAGAGAGAGAAAAAAAAACTTGATATTAAGAAATAATTCACCTGGCAAAGTGTGCTCTAATAGACCAGATTCCAAGACAACAGCTTTAATAACATAAAGATGAGTTTCATGAGCATATGGATACTAATGTATGTGGGAGAATGTACATGCTAAGATCATATGTAAATATGTACATTTAGAAAAGTGTAATCTGGTGTAAGACTAGGATGTATTTATTTCCCTAGTCCTCAAGTTCCACTGTGAGCATGCAAAAGAACACAGTTTGAAAATCATCTGAGGAAAGATGTGAATTTTAATTCAATGCTAAGAGCAGTAATGGATTGTGGATTGGCTGGGTCCTGCGCTTGGCTACACAGCTAACTGACGTGACCCAGGGTAAGTCACAGTCCCTCTAAGAAACGTGTCTGTGGAGCGACAGGGCTGGGGCCAAGCCATGGCTCAGGTTCCTTGCAGCATCTGCTAAACTGAAGGACACTTGGAGGTCCGTCTGCTCTGGAGGGGCAGGTGTGTACTGCTGCTTACCTCGGGGTCACTGCATCCTCTCTCTCCCTGCGGCCACACACAGCCTCTGCATGCACGCAGAGTGTGCACAGACGTTTCTGACTGCCAGGGCACTTTGGGCAGAGTGCGAACAATGGTTCACTAACAACGTGCCCTTACTGATTTGGGGAGGTAAGGGTGGAGAAAGCATTTCTAGAAAACTGTAGCCTAGGCCCAAGAAGTAATTTCATGGTGAAGAATTTATCTCACAAATTGTTGCTTAATGACTGGTGAGCAGACCAGCCTTACATTCAGGTAAAGATCACTTGGAGAGGTCCCAATAAAAGACTTCAAAACTCACGAACTTTAACTCTGCTGTTAGATCACTTGTCCATATTTTAAATAATGCGGGACAAATTAATCACAGAGACTGAGCTACGGCTAGACAGGTTAAGTCATGGACTACACATCAGTGTGGCTGGGAGAATCAACAGACTGTGTCCGACAGCCCACTCACTGTCTGTAAGGAAAGTCTAGGTTGGCGGCTGTGCCACTCACTCCCCTCTGGATGGCTCTTAGAAAAGAGACATGCTGGCTGCGAACCTTCTGATGGAGGCCTCAGGCAACGAGTGTCTGGCGTCCTCTCCTGACTACCCCTCCTCCCTGGTGTCAGGTCCTGCTTCCCCTTGCACGGGCTAGTGCTCTCTCACAGCACGTCAGGGAGGAAGACACGGCCCACAGAGCTTACTGCCCTCTATGTCAGTCCAAGCTGTGATGACCTAAAGAGGGATGTGAAATGAGAAGAAAAGCAGAAAAGGGAAGAGCTGGCGTAGGGCTGAGCTGTCCTGTCATTTGTGTACACACACTGCGCGGCAGTGATGGAAGCCTTGAAACCCGCTGATCATCCTGCAGATGGATCAGCGACCCACAGACCGTCTGCCTGCGGGGAGAGGGAAGGGAAAAGAATATGTCCAGTAGACTGACTCTAGCAATGGTCAGGAAACCCGAAGGCTTAGTTGTTGCACCCAGGGGCAAGCGCAGTGGCAGAGAAGCATGCTTGCATTCTTAAATATATAAATATATATATATATCCACAAGGAAAAAGAAAACAAAAATTAAATAAATTATATTTATAAAAAAAAAACCAAACCAAACCAAAGAAACAGAAAAAAAAAGGCTGGCTTGTCAGGGGGTGGGGTCGAGAAGGCCCCAGTGTGTGTACTTACATAGAGGTCAGCACCGTAAAATCCGTCCTGGTAAACCACACTGCAGAAAATTCACACAAAAACAAAAACAAAAAAACAAAAGAACAGAAACACATTCCGGTTATTGAGGACGGCAGCATGCACATGCGCTCTACACGGGCAGGTGATGTATGAATACGCGCCCTGGGCTTGGGGCCGCGGCCGGCCGGTGAGGAAACGGGAGGAGCGTGCACGCCGCTCAGCTCCAGGACGGACGAGCGAGGAGGGAAAGGAACGCACACCTGGAATGAACCACCTGCAGGTCGGGCCGTTCAAGTGAGGAGGAGCCAACAGAGAGCCTTCCCAGAGGGCCTAGGACAGGTACTGAAAATCTGCTGGGCTGGAAACATCAACTTTTCATATCTGGACCATTTTTAAAATGAAGCTTGCCCTAGGAGGAAGTTTCTCTTTAAAGAGTCTCAAAAGGTATGTGTATGGTGGGTGGGGGCGTGGGGGCGTGGGGGCTGAATGGAACCCAAAGAACTCCATTAAGGCAGGATCCAGTAAAAGTATACTGTATTCAAAATTATGTTTAGTGTTTTACTTTTCACAGTAATATGTGAGTTTTTTCTGATATCCATACATCACCTGCTTTTTACCCTGCACATTAGACATGCGATAAGATTTGGCTGATCACACAAGCATGCAAAGTATTATTATTCAGCATTTTAAGAACCAATGCAACACCTCAGAAAACAAGTCAATCAATTCTGACCAAAGTAAACAGAGAAATGTAATTAAAAAAAAAAAAAAGAAAAAACACAACCAAAAATACCCACAATGCATTGCTTTCACAAGCAGAGATAATGAGCTAATAAAGGTTAAGGTGATTGGTCCAAGGTCCAAGAATTGAAAGGTGCAGTGGGGATCCCAGATAGTAACAATATAATCCAGAATGGGAAGGAGTAACTAAATGATTTTAAGGGTTCTTTTTTGACCATAAGAATATTCATGGAATTCTGAAAAATACAATTGTTAACTGAGAGGTTCTGGGCATGACCTGTTCTATTTAAAAGAATAAAACAGAAAAGGTGGCTGGTTATAAGCAGAAGGGTTTATTTTCCTGTTTAGAAAATTAATTTGTATCAAACAAAGTACATGACTTTTTGTTTTAATCCTTAGCAACACTAAACTATTAAAATATAGATTTTGAACCTTTTAAGGTATTTTGTGCACTTCTGCATGTAACTTCCCCAAAACATTACTTTGGGACCAAGAGACACAGAACAGTGGCAGAGATAAAAGATAAGACTTTCTTCTTCCTATTTGTTAAATCAAAATTTGGTTATTTTAAATGAGATCTGTTTATTATTTATTCAACTAAACAAATGGTAAAATTTCACCACTACCTTCTCTGTTACGATAAAAAAGCTAGCAAGCGGAATCATCAAATCTGTATTTAACCTGAACATGAAATCATTTCCTTCTTATAGGTAGTGGGAAAGTCTCTGAATTGTACTTCCAATGACATTTTGCTGTGTTTGCAGGACAGCAGGGTCACATTCTGCATTGCCTCGAATACGCTGTGTCTGAATTACACAGCAGGCAAACTAAACTCATCTGTGATGTTCATTTAGCTAAGTTCTATCCATTTTCAGGGTCTGCAGTCACAGTTAAAGAACGGTATTAGGGATTAATCTGCCTCTCAACTGCATTTTTGTAAAAAAAAAAACAGACTTGTTCATGATGAGAAGGCTGATAAAATGCAAAGCACTGATGCCACGTGGTGGTTAGTTAGCCTTCGACTAGTTCAGTACAGGGACAGAGGCAAAGATTAAAAAAACGTTTCTTCTACAGAGAAAAGTGGTGGCATTACAAACACGAGTAAATGTCACACTAAGCTGTGTCACTTACTGGGAATATCCACCTAAGTTCTAAAAGAATTCCCATTAGCCCTGTATCAAACGCCACAGGAGGCTAGAACACAATGAGTAATGATGGAATTAGTGTACTCAGCCGAGAAGCAATTTTAGGCCATTCCCCATAAAATACTGGACTTATTCCTTGCCATCTTCCATGTAAACAGGTGGTTTAGTTAATAAAAAAGAAAAACATGGGCAATTAGTGTTCAATGTAATGCGCAGAAATTGATGTGATTAGACACAGATAAAATATCTTTGAGCAAATATATACCTGACACAGACTTGGTAGTGAATGGGTTTTCAAGTTTGCCCAATATACTGAAATGACCTGCATTTAACAGGAACGAATTCAACCCCTTCACACGGTAACTCAGGAATATTACAGACAGAGAAGTCCCATGTTCCTGGTGAGCAGCATCTCTTTGCAAACGGGATGGTAAACTCTTGGATCGAAATGGAAGACGCTTCATGAACAATTTTCCTAATGTAGCAAAAGGTTTGTTTTTATGTTTTACTTGAGTATTTCTTGAGGAAACTATGCTGCAACTTTATTAACTTCTTTAAAAAGAGATGTCAGAGGTTGAAGGTCAAAGGTCAGGTTAAGAAGAAGAAAAAGGATAAATTAAAAGTAATGGCGGAAGATGGAGATGATGGAATGCATGGGATTTAAACATCTATACACTGCAAATGGAGGTTTATCTCTAAAGCAGTTCCCTTCCAGTGGCTTTTAGAGCCTGCCCACTTCAACATGCATCCTTGCCTTATCTAATAAAAATGCTTTAACTCTGTGTAATGGGGGGCCCCTAATGGCAGGTCCATTAGGTCTATGAACGAATGCTAAATTAGCACACCTGAAAGCCAATTTTGCTGTCAGTAAAGGACCTACAAGGGAGGCTCTTTCCTCTGCCACTATGTTTATTCCTCCGTAAGAACATGGAAAAAAAACCTGTCGTAGGCAGAGAAAAGATGAAGAACACAAATATCACATTTTTGAGGAAGAAAAGTCCTCGACACAACTAACTTATAAAAAGTCCACTACAAAAATATACATTTTAGGCTGACACTGAGAAACAAGTGAAAACAAACCCTGCCTCCTTCACTCCTTCTCCCCGTTCAATAACCAAGGATTCATTTGTTGCTATGGAATCATTCCACTGCGTGAGACACCCTCCACACAAAAATCAAAGGGTGAAGGATGCTCGGCCGCGTTACTTGTTTTACCATCATTCAGAAGCCAACTGCAGTTTAATTCTTCCTACTGCTCCCTTTCTCCCTTGATTCAATTGGACTTGGGTCATCTTTGAATTAACCTCTTTTAATCCGTTTCCTACAAAGAAAGCAAATCCATTGTGGGTAACCGGCTCTGCTGCTCACCACCCGGGCAGTGAAGCCAAGAGGGAGGGCGCAGGTGACCGCCTCAGCCCCGGTCCAGGGTGGTGACGGGGGCGGGCCCAGCAGATGCCGTCTGGCACTACAGTCTCGAGCTCTGGTCTCGGTTCCCTGCAGCAGTGTTAATCCACGTCCGTGCGGTGCCGAGTGAGCTCCATGCCAACGCATCGCTAGTCAACACAAGGCAGCTCTGGCTACTGCCTTAAGCCGCTCCCGGGAGGGCTTAAGGTGGCCGAAATGAAGATTTATATAATGAATTTATATTTGTTATATTCTGACGATGGTATATTTTGGTTCTTGCCATCTAATCTGTTAATTTGCACATATTCATAGGATCTTTACTATGTGGCACAGCAACGTCCCCGAAGTTCTAAGGGGGCCATGGTATTTCCTCGTCCAGGTGCTTATTTTGGAATCTAACACTTACCCTGGATAGGCGGGAATGGCTGTTGGAGGTACCGCTCGGACTGCACCATACACCGTCCGCCCCCTGCCCCTCAGGTGGGCTCCTCTGAAAGCGGCCGCCGTGGTGGCTGCAGTTGGGTAAGGAAAGCCAGGAACTAAAGGGAGACCCAAAATAGGACGGAAATGTCAACCTGCATTCAGAAGTAGGCGTACAGTCACAACGTGCTTTGAACCAATTACAGGAAAGATGGAAAAGTATGCACGGCACATCTCTTCTGGGAAAGAATGGCAAGAGACCCAACAGGCAAAAGCTAAGGGTGCCATGCCTCACTGGTCCCAAATCCTGAGTGAGTTTCCTCTGCTCCTGCCCGATTCTGCACTGCACATCACAGTGCACGCTGGTGAGGAGCGGCTCCAGGGGCTCTGAGAACTACTGTCACAGTAAGGAAGGAGACTTAATTTCTGGGAGCGGTTTAAATGGATTGATATAAACTCTTTAACTGGCCAATTATTCACCTTGTTTGTAAACATTATTATGTGCATATCAAACTTACTCATCACAGACATATTATTTTGTGGTTTTACAAGGTGCAAAACTTTAAGGCACACAATAGTCTTCAGACATTTCATCTCATTAGCCAGCTTTAGTCTTTTACCTAAAATGTTGCACTCCAGAAACAAAGGGGAGAGGGAAACGACCTCTCCCTTGTGGCCCTGTGTCCTGAGAAGAGGCAGGCATTGTGTAAGGGTCTGTTCTAAGTGTGCTCTTGGGAAGCCGTGCAGAGACACTGGTTCCAGTCCCCAGAACTCTGTTTAATGATACATTTTTCTGGAGCAAAATGGCTCAGGTCAACAGAGCTGGGAATGGTCAATAATCCTGGAGGTGCTTTTAAGTGACACTCAACCAGAGGGCCCCAAACTGACTTAGAACATGTGTAATATATTCCACAAATACTTAACTTCTTTTGCGTTATTATCAAAAACATACTAAAATGTTCTTTACATGCCCTTACCCCCCTCTGCCTTTTCCAACTATCTATGCTTTGTGGCAATCTTTGTATTTGGTCAGAAAGACCTTGGGCACAGGCTAAAAGCAGGACAGGGCACAGCGGCAGCACTCTCTCTCCCAACAATGCCTCCTTTCCAGTTAGGCATTATCACACTTGGGGGAAGGGAAGACCTCTCGCCCATCATCGCTTCCAACAGTCAAATTCCATGCCAGGCCAACATAGGCTACTTACTGATTAAGGGAATGTAAGTGTTAATGCCCCCTCTTCCCGACAGGGGCACCGCTGCATCGTTGCCTAGGGACACATCTGCTTGGAAGCTGGATGCTGATCGCATTAAAAAAAAAATTAAAAAATGCAAAAAGATTACAAAGGAATAGTTAATCGCAAAACAACAGATGTTGTTACAATTACGCAGCACACGTGGAAAAATCAACTTAAATGCTACCTGCATATAACTCGGGCCCATAAACAGCTCCAACTACTGGGCTCAATTTCCAACCTGCAAAACAAGAGAGGGCAGTGAGCGGTTAGGATGACCTGAGGGATACAGGGCAGAGGAGCAATGTACGAGCTGGCCACAGACATCTCTGGGCTCATTTTTGTCCATTCCCATCTTTTCTTTAGAGTGCGGCTGGGGTTGATGAGAAGGCGGCGACATTTCCAGACCCAGTTATCTTTAAGCAGGTCCAGCACAGTGAGGGGACACTGAGGGGTGGGGGAGAGCAGGGAAGGGGCAGAGAAAGAAAAATTGGGAGGGAGATAGGAAAATGGAAAGGGAATGAGAAAAGAAAAAAAGAAGAATCTTGGGGTTGGGTAGCATCTATCACAGAACTGCCTAATGACTCATTCTTTGTTTAGGGAAAGGAAAAATGCGGACTACAGTACACGAGGGGAAAACCCCCAAACCCTGGAATTTATTTATTAAAAACTGTGCATTTATTCTTACATGTTTAAACTTCAGTTACCTTCAGAGTACTCTCCATTTGATGCAATACACCTATCGAAACATTTTTCCACTGTTCAAAAAAGTTTTTAAACTTATTGATTTTGATGCCTTTTAATGCTTCTGATATTTTTTGGTTTCACCTCTTCCACATCCATGAAATGTTTACCTTTGAGGACTTTTTTCATTGGGGAAAACAAACAAAAAAAGTCACTTGGGGCAAGATCAGGTGAATAGGGAAGGTGGGGCATTGGGGTCTTTGGTCAAAAATGGCTAAATATTCAGGTGCAGCACGGGTAGGTGCACTCCTAAACCACCCGTCATGAAATGGGCAAAAGCGTGGAAAGAGCTTAAAAACAACAACAAAAACAACAACAAAAAAAACAAACCCAGTGAAGCCGAATGCATCCTCTCACAACACCACCAGCTGGTACACTGCTACAGATGGGTTCCTACAACACTCACCTAGCGGGGAAAGAATGTACTACAAGGGGCCTGCCTTCCAGAAGATAATTCCAGTTTTTGAGGGGTCCTCCCTCGTATGTCATTCTATACCACACTGTGATAAACTTTCTTATAAGCTCATCTTAGCACTATTTACTACTCTCGTTGTTTTATATAACTATCCTTTCACTAAACTCAAATTTGACCTGGATCTTTGAACTCCACGTTTGATTACACCATTCTGATGGTATTCTGGGTAAACTGAAACCTCCTTTCATTGAGGTTTCATTGTCAACCAGAAGAAACATGCAATAATAAAATGCAGGCTACATTACCAACTTCAGTGCATGTCCTCTGAGATTTTAATTTGTAATGAACACATCTGAGTTAATCAGACCTTTTAGCTGAAGGATATTAGACTACAGTTGAAAATTTACTTAAAGATTTATAAATTTTAATTATTTCCAAACATTAGGTTTGGTGTCAAGAGTATTTCATCATTTCCTTTTTATATTCATAGGAATATAGCAAGTGTTAAAAAATGTACTACTGCCCACTGTTAATGATTAGAATTACATGTAAAAAATTTTAATCAATAGATATTTATTACATATTATACATAAATAAGCAAGCATGCCCATTATGTTTCTGAAAGACTGTCTCTTTGGCTTATTTCTTTTATATTAGCTTAAGGGCCTAACGTTGCATCACTGCTACTCTATAAAATTATAAATGGAAAGAAGAAAAGGTCAATCATCAGATTTTAATGGCTACATTGTTTAAGAGAAAACCCATTCATTCTGAACCAATCCAAACCCCATTCATTATTTTATGTGCTCATAGACATGCCTCCTCATTATTCTACCAAAAAATCTGGGTTCAAATCCTACTGGAACTGCAAGAGCCCAAATGTTCTGCAAGATCAGACAAATCAAGGGATTCCAACTAACATAAAGTCAGTGCTGAGGATTCACCAAGGGTGGGCGTCTAGCGCACTCTCGTCAGAACCTTTAATACCGCAGATGTGGTTTTCTAAAACGTGGCTCCCTTAGACTTAGAGATTGATTTAGAATAATATTCACAATGACCCTTTTCTTTCTCACCAATGGCACTGTGACTTAAGCACTCCCTGTGGAGGCATGCAGTGGATGCACACCATAATAATGGTATGCAATAGTGTGCTATCATATGTTTAACATGTTCAGTTTTGTACAATTTACAATGTATTTTCAGATGTTTATGCCGTTTTGACCTTCACAAAACCCAAGACAGGGACCACTGCTGGGACAAGGAGTACTACACTTCCCCCGGCCCCTTTCCTAAAGAGCAGTCAGCGAGGAGGGCTAGGCTCTGGTGGCGTCTAAAGAGTGGTCTGTCTGACGCTCCGACTCTGTGACTGCCACCTCACAGACACGAAAACAGTCCGACAGGCCAGGAAACCGGCTCCCTGGCCCGGAGTGAAGTGGAGAGTCAAATCTGGAAGGAGGATGCCTGTCTTCTAAATCCCAGCGGCTCTTTCTGCCACACCCTGCTCCCTGGATCTAAAGGGAATCTGACGTTCTTTGCCTCTCCCTCCTTCTATTTTCTTTTTGGTCTACGTTGGGTTTTTGTCCAAATTGCAGAGACTTCCATTTTTGCGGTAGCAGTGAAGAGAAAACAAGAGGTAGGGTGGGAGGTGGTGATATAACATGATATATCACTGATGAAATATGTAGGGAAAATGCAAATTGTGCTGATCTGTATCATCGGGAAAGCTGGGTCACACGCAATACTAACAAATTTCTGTTTAAGACATTACCCAGCACACAGTGCCACTCCGCAGTTAGATTCAAACTTTCACAAAACGCTAAGAAGGGAGAAATTCCCTCTTTTATTCTAGGTAAGTGTTGTAGAACTCTAAAATATACAACAGGGAATGGATTGCTCAGACCAAAGTAGAGCCGGAGGCCTCGGGACCCAATCCATTCAATTTCCCTTTTCCCACAAGACGGTCTCGTAGAACACATCTGCAACATCACTACTGCACAGCAGATTAAAATGACATCCCCTCTCATTTAGAGAACACGAGTCTAGATTAAATTGGACAAATGATGTTAACATTTTGTCTCTGTTACACAGAATAGTGAACAGAAAATTTTCTTCTCAATGAAAAATATTTAAAACACTCACATATAGTCATGGAACAGAAAATAGAAGACAGACAGACACACACACACACCATGGCTGTTACCTCTAAAAAAGCAGGGCAGGCGGTCAACAGCTATCCCACTCATGCTCGGATGGACAGGAGTCCGCAGGAGCGGGAAGAGCTGGCGGGCACCCGGGGGTACAAAGGGCAAGTCTGACAATGCGCTACAAAGAACTACGGCAGCCCCGAGGGGGCCCTGACGGGGTCAGTGGTAGGTACCCTCACATGACTCGTGCACACTGTGTATCGGATGAGCTTTACTGACACCATAGCACCTTAACTACTAAAAAAATGAACTTAATTCTAAGAAAAAAGTTCATTTCTAAAAATAAAGCACCCTCCTCGGTTAAGAAAATACTTCCATGTAAATGAGACATACTGTCATGAGACTAAAAAGAGATTCTTTGATGTTTACGGAAAGCTCATACACATACACAAGAATAAATGGCATCATTCTGAAGATGACTTGTAGTTACCATTTGCATACGGTGTGACCATCTTCTTGTTGGTCATTACACGTGCTGTAGCATTATTCACCTGAAAACAGAAAGAGGGGGTGGGGGGAAGTAGACCACATTAAGGAACATGGAGGTGCTCACCCAATCACATACTCAATTTAAAATGCAAATTTCAGAGCACTGATTTAAATAATTAATATAGCGATATAAAATATTAATATATAGTATTTTAATTAAAGCGTTTATTAAATGAGGCTAACAAGAGTAAAATGTAGTTTCTTACTCTCCAAATGGAAAACTAGGGCCACTTTACCACCCAGTCCTCCAAAGACAAACGGCATTTGCAAACTCTTTGGAGATCTTAAACAGAGAAGTCTCTGTGTTAAGGAAAACATAAGAAAACAGTAAATTAGAAACAACTCTGTTTTCCCATGAACTTTGAAGTTCATTAGTAAAATAGAGGCTTGCCACATGGGTCAGAAAATAAATTTACAGGAAGGTAAGAAAATAAATCTGTGGATTCCACCTATTCTAATGGCCAGCATTTTGATATACTTGTATCAGATTTTCCTGTTTGAAGTTAGTCGACCAACACAGGAACTTAGACTTCCACACTGACAGTCTTGAGAAACACTGTGGATTTTCTAGACTACGCGGTCTATCCGTTTATAAAGAAAGTTTTCAGGAGGCCTTTCAATTAGGCACTTAAAAGAACTGAAGACAGAACTGTTTCACGGTGCTGTGCACCCTCAGCAGAGAACAGCACCATGCACAGCATTCTCCGTGTGGGGGTGGGGGATGCAGAGACGGTGCTGGGGAAGGAAAGCGGAAGCGGCCTGAGGTCAGGGCACGGCCGTCCAGTGGCAGAACCAGCCTCGGCACTCTGGCGCTCTGGCGGGATGGGACGCCTCACCAGAGTCTTATTACACACGGTGCTGTCAGGTCATAAAACCGGTCAGTTTTGAAAAAAATGATCAAACACACAAAATATAAATGTCTTACTTTGCCTCTGGAAAACTGACATTATTTTGTATAACAACGATAAATTTATGTTACAAAAAGACCAATTTTTAGGTAAAACTGGAACTAAAAATGCTTTAGGATGTTTTGCAGGATTTGTAGAGTGGCCGTATGCCTATATGAGGAAAAGAGCTTGAAACTCCATTTACTCTAGTTTGACCCACCGAATACCATAAACATTTCACATTTAAAAAGAAAGAATGAGATACAACAATGATGAGACTGAGAGCATGCTGTTAAAAAACACACACACACAAATAAAAAAAAGGAAAAAACAATCACTTTTGGAAAGAAGGGAAAAGTGAAGAGCGAGGCTCTCACGGACAGGAATGAAAATGGGGCAAGAGCTTACAGTCGCCGCTAGAGCAGAATGCACCCAGGCACTTAAAAGAAAAAATGGCCAGAACCAATCAGAGGCCATCAGTCAGCAAAAGAGACCAATAGCTGCATGTAACAGAGAAAGGGCGGGAAAGGAATAGGGGGAGGGACGGCAGCGGAACTTGGGCGGACGGACTGACAAAAAGGCAGGGAAAAGAGTGTCACGGGCAGGAAGGAGAGTCATCAAGAGCAAAGAAGGAACAGTCGCAGCTCTAAATGGAGGTTTGGGAAAGAGGAAAAGTAGGAAAGGAAGCAGGGCAGGAAATGCATTAATAAAACCAGCCAAATTGGAGTTCAGTAACTCTGAGTAAGATGTGCAAGGGGAAAAAATCACCATGACGTCAGTATCAAACAGCTCAGAAGGCTACAAAACAATGTACATACAAAGTCCAGGCGGCATTACTCAACAGCATTGAAAATAAAAGGGGGGGGGGAAGGGAAAGGAAGAGAGGCAACAAGTCAAATCACATTTTGTCGTGTTAATGTGAGATGGCAGATGGACTTTTTCTTTCTTATTTAATTGTTTTGTAATTACGTTTTATAAAGCTTCTTCTCTAGTGCTTTGGTTTCACTTACCGCCAACGGGCACCATCGCCAGCATTGTGTATAGTTACCATGGAAAGAGTGAGTCAAGTGGAGGGCCCTAAATGCTAAACCATTGGAAAGGGAGGGGGGAAGAAAAGCAAAATATGCAGACATCTTACTCAAAATGGTGGCTTTCATATTTCATACTTTCCAAAACTGGGAGAGGGGAAAGGAGCCAGTTAACCTTCATTGCCTTTTTAAGAAGGGCTGGTGAGTGCCAGGTAGCCAACAGTTAGATTGACAGTACGCTCACCAGGCAACCATCAAACCCTCTGTTTGAGAATTTCTTGACATTAAATATATTTGATGAGTTTCGGATTCTTTCCTTCCTCCCCACAACCTCTATGATCTTCTATTCTTTGCTTATCACACACATGGAGGCGAACTGGCCTCCCGAGAGAGAAAGAGAGAGAGAGAGAGGGAGGGAGGGAGAGAGAGAGAGAGAGAGAGAGAGAGAGAGAGAGAGAGAGAGAGAGAGAGAGAGAGAGGGAGGGAGAGAGAGGGAGGGAGAGAGAGGGCATTGGCTGGCCCCTTGATTTATTACAGGATACAATGTTATAAATTGGAGAGTGATAGACATTTTTAAAGTTTGTTTTATTTTGGCCCGATCACAGGAATTTGGAGTCTTGCAAACTGAAGCAAAGGAAAAAAATCAAGAGAGCAGAAAGACGAGCACTTGGGAAGAAAAAGGTAAATGAAAAGTGCACACACACACGCACACAAGTAAACCAAGACTTAAAACCCCCAAACAACAAAAAAGGCAGGGGAGGAGGGTAGAAGTGTTACTTTTATACATTTTAGTGCAAGGAGGTGAAGGACACAGAGACACAAACACACATACATGTGCCACACACACACACACACGACAGACAGGGTTCCAAATGTGAAATCAGTGAGGCAATACACAAAAAGAGAAACAAAAATATAAACCAGAAATTGAATTATTGAAGACATGCACCTCGATTTTACGGCCCTCTACCACGGTGCCGTGTAATTTCTCCCTGGCCCTGTCTGCATCAGCACTATTCTCGAAAGTTACGAACCCGAATCCCTGCATGCAGCGGGAGAAGGGGGGGAAAACATGCACATCGTTATATTGAAATACTGATCTCTTGGTAAATAGAGAAAAAAATATCATAGTATGAAACTGACATCAGCAACAACTCAGCAATATGCTCCTGAAGTCACGTTTGTGGACCATGCATATTTTGTAAAGGGAAATTAAATCCACTAAAAGAATAAAGAACTGTAGTGGTAGTAATAATAATAATGTAATTAACAACAATAATAATAACAATAATAAAGAAAATAAAACATAAAGCATGTGAGGCCAGACCAAAATTAAGGTACAGAGTTACTCGGGTCAAATTATTCATCCAAAAATTTGAGTATTTTTTAAAAAACATTCTACCTTTCTCTCCCAACTCATGCTGTTAATATTTGTGTCCTTTTATGTAATATTAAAAACTACTTAATTAAATCAATTATTCCCTAGTAACTTCTACATGAAACCTGATATTTAAGTATAATCACTATATAATGGAGATTTTTTTGGGAGGTCTAATCATTTTAGCCCCATTTTGCCTCTTGCTCATACTACCATTAATTCCTTTGGGATTAAGATAATTTAAGACAAAATCTTAATATACAGTTCTGCAGGTGCTGCATGCAGTGAAGGAAAGCACGCATGTTCACCCAAGCAAATGTAACTATTGCCAAGCAAGGGTCAGTCACATAAGACCCTTCTTCAGTGCCAACTGTAAATGACCAGACTGGCACAGAGTGAAAATGCAGGGGTGGGCAAAAGTAGGCTTATGGTTCTGAGTGCACAGACTACTTATTAATTATTGTATTATTTTCCATACAAACAACTCTAAGCCTACCTTTGCCCACCCCTGTAGGTTCAGCTGAATTTCAAAACATTGCTTGTCCAAATTTACGGAAGTTGCACGTTTGTTGACATCTGCACCTATTACTAAAAGTATCAGCAATTTTCCACACGTAGAGAAAAAAGGAAGTCAAAAAGGCAGTGGAAATGAGATCTACATTAGTGGCATCAGTTGCATACTATTCGACAGGAAAAGAACACCATAGAACAGCAATACAGTTGCTACTCGAGTTAGGACTAATTAATTTGTATACTGTAGATACTGCCAAAAAAAAAACCAAAACAGAAAACCCCCACGTGGCTTTTGTTCATTACGGGGACAAAGCAGGAGACCAGGAGTTAACCCACTTTACTGCTCACATTATATTTGAAAAGACTGTCTGGGTTACAGTACTACTGGTTAACTTCAACATCAGCGGGATTTACTGTATTCTTTTTTTTTAAAGGATTTACTATATTCTTCTACAACTATTTCACAAAGCATTATATCAGTTTCATTTTAGGTGCTTTGTCCTTATCTTTCCACTTTGCAACTAAAATTTTCTCAAGCTATTTACATCTGTAGAGTGGTTAATTCTTAGGGTTTTCTGGGAAACGCCTCATTTCTCAATAGCTTCACTGTCCCTCTAGCATTCTTTGAACATTTTGTTGTAGAATAAGGATAATCTGGATTCCTTATGTTTACTCATACACAAAACCTGTTCTTCACTGAGATGGTAAACTGTGCCTTGCTTAGTCAAGTTTTATAACAGCAACTCCATGATTTTGAAGGACCTGGCTACACAGAATTCAAAACGCTTATATGATTGGGAGGAGAACCATGGAGGATTCCAATGGATCGTCTCTACCACCGTAAATACTCTAGAACGTGCAACGTTAAAATTTTAAACGTATGTTGCTTGGGATAGAACATCATGGGTAACTTTAGTTAATATCTCCCTTAAAAATGGAAATGTGTTGAAAATTTCAATGGGAACACATTTGGAAAGTTAAATTTTGATGTTGGCACTTTGACAACTCCAGGTATACAAGGGCAAGTTACTAATTACGCCATTTGTTGTTTACACTGGATCTGCTGAAGACAGGGAACCAGGTCTCAAATTCTGGAGAACCCTCCAAAAAGTAAAACCTTTTAAGAGAGATCACAGATAGCAATGAATTTTTATATCACATTTTAGGAGTATTATTAGCTGTAATCCAACTGACTGTCATGGCCTCACACATTGTATGCCTTGGGTTAAGTTACTAATACATTAGTACTTGTATAACGGATTATGTGCAGACTAAAGCTATATTTTTAAGTAGAGCATGATGACTACATCTATATACATACATATACACATATATACATGTTTGTCTTTTAAATACAACCATGGGGCAGAAAGGATACACCTGCTGGTTCCACTTAGAAGGTAAAGAAATGGAGTCAGACGGAGGTTAAGTACTCAGTCGCCAACAAGGCTCAAAGCATCAACGAGGCCTTCTTCCTTCCCTGTGGCTTCCTCCTGCAGCTAATGGTGAGGAAACTAGACAGAAGTTCAGCTTGAAATCCAAGTATTCTATTTACTAAACTACATCAGTCCCAAAGTCCTTACAATTTTCTTGCTCAAATCTCATCACTGACTGTGTTCTATGACCTTCCTTGCTGGAGTGCGGGCAGGACACCTGTGGCACACCGACTGCAAGTCCTGCAGTGTCAGTGTCACAAACACTGACACCGTGGGGTCGGCAATGGCCAAGTTTAACATTCAAGTTTGCTTGTGTAAGATTTTTGCCAATAATGACCTTAATATTCTGGAAAAAGAAAGGTGCTTAATCCATCCAAGGAAATGCTAATCAAGACACCAAAGAGAGGAGAATAAAGCCATCTCTACAGGCATCGTCACCCAGGGGAAGAGGAGGAAGGACTGGTTGACACTTTGGGAGACCTGAGGAGAAACAGAGGTAAGAGGATTTCTTCTTTCCTTTGAAGATACGCGGACCTTGTGGCAGGCAGAAGAACGACCCCCCAACCCATGTCCTAGTCCCCGGAACCTGCGACTATGTTACCTTACGTGGCAAAAGGGATTGTGCAGGTGAGATTAAATCAGTGATCTCGAGATAGGGAGATCACCCTGGATTACCCAGGAGAGCCCAGTGGGATCACCAGGGCACCCATCTGTGAAAGAGGGAAGCAGGAGAGTCAGCGTTGGAGTGTGGCGGCCTGAGCAAGTCTGGCCTCCTGGCCACTGCTGATGGATTTGGAAAGGGGCTGAGGCCAAGGAACAGCGCTGCAAAAAGTGAGGAAGTGGATGACCCCTGAAAACCCAGTGTCCAGGGACACTTGGACCGTAGCCCAGAGAGACCCATTTTGGACGCTTGTCCTCCAGAGACGCACGGTAATGAACCCGGGCGGCACTAAGCCGCCACATCTGCGTAAGTTGTTCAGAAGCAACAGGCCATTATATATACCTCACAGAACTCAAGTCTGATCAGGAAGGGGAGAAGCACAACCAGCATTTTAAACATACTGGTCTTAAAATACTCTTTTCTCATGCTGAAACTTCAAACAGGTTGTTTTCTACCAACCCAACTAATACTTCCTTATCTGTCACATTCACAATTTGGTTTCATGAATATTCATTCAAATAAAGCCTGAAAACTTGTTTTAATGGACAGTGTTCTTCAATAAAATTTCACATTTTTGAAAAGGTGCCAGGAACTCAGTTAAGGATATTCACAGATTACTCAGGCTTAAAAAGTTACTAATAGGAAAATATGCTCACATAAAATTATGTTTTAATATCCCTTCATTCTCAAAAATCTAATTCATATTATGTTTGGCCATTAACATCTCTTGCTTTAAAAAAATTAATAAAATTATGTCTAATCCTAACACATTTTCCCAAGAAGGGCTTCAAAATGAGCATTCAGTGTGTCAAACGGGAACTAATAACCAGTCTGAATAGCTTCAAAGTCAAACGAAGATTTAATCTCAAACTCTTAACAAGGGTAAATATATCATGTATGTAAGAAGATAAAAAACAGCTAAAAAGTGAACTTTCATTTTTAATTAAAAAATGATGTAAGCAGTGTCCGTCAACACCAGCAGCTATCAGATAGAAATGTAACACGATCCACACACGGAATTTAAAATTTTCTCCTGGCCACATTAAAAAAATAAAACTAGGTGACATTAACTTCAAGAAATTACTTTACTTAACCCAATACATACAACATGCTATCATTTCCAACGGGCATCAACACACAACCATTACTAGTGAGATGTCTGACATTCTTCGTTGAATCGGTGTGCGCTTCACACCAAAAGCACATCTCAGTTCAGACCCACCACCTCTCACGGGCCCGACACAGCCCCTGGAGGGACAGTGCAGGCCTGCATGCTCTACACTTTCACCTGAGGTTCCCAGTCCCCAAAGTCCTTCTGTGGTGACAACGGAAACACACCAGTATAAAGTATAACATCAGTGGTTGCCAGCTCCCTAAGCTGTCTTTTGTGAAATCGAGGAATGGTGTGTTTATTGGTTGTGGTTAAAGCTTCTTGTGAGTGACAAAAATTTCATCACCTGCCTTGACATCATCAAGGGCACACAGGAGCCGAATAACTGTCACCTTTTTAGTCTGGCCTCAGACTGCAATAAATAACAAGCAATAGGATGAGCAATGTAAAAGTACTTTTTAATTGGTATAATCTTTGAATTTTTCCATCTCAGAAGAATGAGAAAGAAAATTTACCATGTAACTTTTTAGGGAGAAATCAAAAGCAGACGGTTCTCCTGGGTATGGCCAGAACACAGAAATTAAAAAATAAATAAAAGAAAAATAAAACTAAAACCCATAAAATGGTAACAAAAGAAAATAAACTAAGCCCTTTGGAAATACATGCATTGTTAATTCAGTTTTAAGTATGATAAAAAACATTTCACTTCAGCATTATCTATCAAATTTTACTGAAAATCACAAAAGTCGATTTAGTGCAATTTCAAAGACAGCCTTCTGACCATATTTTGAAAGAAATAAATATTCTTCTTTTCATGAAATTGAAAGCCAGGGAAACAGGCAGGAAGTTGGAGCACATCACTTGTGTCTGAGGAGCAGAAGTGGAGCTTCTATCTTCTCTAACTTGTAGCTTAAACTTAAGCCCAGCCCCAAACCACATCTCCATCACCCCAGGAATCCACCCGAGAGGAGAAAGAACATAGTGACTAAAATTTGCTAGAAATCTCGATAATTGTTGCTGTGCTCTACTTTGTAGTCTTTCAGTCAACTTAGTAATTGGCACTGTCTGAAGAAGTACAGAGCTCCTACACAGTCAGTGTTTATAATACATATACACCCCTTCAAGTGACAACACCACCAGAAGTATATTGAAAAAACTTTGTGGAAAATATGATTAGAATATGTGTATTTTTTAATTTAATAAGCCTGATAATTATCATGAATGTTATGGAGCTGGGTGATGATGAACAGGATGGTGGAAAATCTGAATTTCAACAATGGAATAAACTTTGAAAAACAACAAGTTCTTGGGCACTAAAAGTGTCCAGCAGAGAATTCAAGGTCAAGAGCACTGGGTCCAACTAGGTGACCCTTACTCAGAGTTCTGTTTAAGAGTCTATGTGAGAAAAGACTGGGAGGAAATACATGAGAATGTTTGTGAATATTCTTTTTAATGAGCTATGTATGCTTTATTCATTCCACTTCACTAAATACCATGTTTTCCTCTTATAATCATTTTTAAAAGGGTGCTTTTAAAAAAGTTGTTGCTCAAAGAATCTATATGAAGAGCAACAATATAATTTACTGTCCAAACATGCACTTTAAGGGGGAAAAGGTACATCGTTAATAATTATGCTAAGACGATAGGTATAAACTGGGACTATCCTTGATAAACCAGGACATACGGCTGCTCCACCTGTACCTCCTTGTTTATACTCTGTCATGACTGGTGAAATGTGGAGAATCGACAGAGCTACACATGTCTGAATAATTCTTTTCTAGAATTCCGTTTGAGTACAATTAATTAGTTTTTTGGCAGGGGTGCCATTTTTTCATCCTATATCCTTACTGCACATTTTCAAAAGCATAATCTATCTGTTTCAGTTAATCACAGAAAATTAAATACAGCTGACTTCATGTTTATACAAAGGAATAGGGAATAAAAAGATTTTAAAAAAATGACAGGAAACAATTTATAGTGTGCATGTGTATGCATGTAAATGATATATATTCATTCCATAATCCAGGTAAATCAAATCCAGAATATGAAGGTCAAAGAAGAAAAAAGGAAAATAGCAACAAAGAAACAATTACTTCCTGAAAGCACAGAAATTCTACTCTGCAGGCAAATGTAGAGGTAGGAGACTGGCAGGCAGGGAGGGGCATGGAAGCGTAACAATGTCCACTTATAATTTTAAGTGGGTATATTCTAAACCCCTGGGCTGAAAGTCTCATTATTAAAAAGAACAAAACAAAACAAAAGACATGGTAAAGAGTTGTTTTTTTGTTTTGGAGCCATTCGGTTAAATACTGCATTACATGTAAGTACAACTTATCTAAAAATTAATTTGTGACTAGTTTTTCCATTACTGCTCCAAAAAAATTCAATAAAGGTAATTTCTATACAGAAAAGCACTCTTAAAAGACTGAACAACTCTTTTCTTTTTAAAACAAGACTTTATTTTTTAGAGAGAAGGGGCGAGAGGGAGATAAATGTCAATGTGTGGTTGCCTCTTGTGCGCCCCCAACTGGGGATCTGTCCCGCAGTCCAGGCCTGTGCCCTGACTGGGAATTGAACCTGTGACCCTTTGGTTCGCAGGCCTACACTCAATCCATTGAGCCACACCAGCCAAGGCTGACTGAACAACTCAACAAAAGGACCACATAAGTTTTCTTTTCTTGGGCTCCTTTCAAGACATGTTGTGATTTTATAGTCAACCCCAAACATATTAGACGTGAGAAATGAAACTTAATTTACAAAAAGAAAAGCACTGGTTAATTTTATCTAAGGTGGATTCCAGAAGAGGCATCGAGGTATTTATGTTGGTTTAACTCCAACATAAATCTCTATTACCAAGCCTCAAAGCAGCTCCAGAGGAACCCACTCCAGCAAAGAACTCTGGGTGACAACAGTTAAGAAGTACGAGGATGAAGACAGGTTTTGTACCAGTCCTTGAAGGCAGACTGAAGACAATCCAAATTCTGTGCTTTGTTTTAAAACGTGTACCAATCAGTAACAGTCTGTCTATCCTTCAGCGGCCCAAAGGAAAAGGGGCAGCGAGGCCACAGCACCTGGCTGAGAGAGGCAGCATGTGCTTCTGGATTCCCCACACAGAAAAGGAAGGCTTGTGTCATTTAAAAATGAAAGTTACAAGGGAGAAGCAATCGAATCGGGCAAATTTAAAAATCCTTGAAGTCAATGAAAGAACCCTCCAGAAAGATCAATTTCCTTTGCTTCAAAGAATTCAATCAAATTACTTTGTTGGTAAGGAGCAAGTCCTCAATGCCTGATGAAATTATACTGGGCTTTTCAGTTGTTAGAGTCTCGTTAAGGACATTGTAAGTGCATACACTTAAAAACCGAAAACATTTAAACCGCTACTTTAGATAAACAGTGTAGTCAACAATCTTCACATATTCATTTTATATTCATGTGCTTCACATCTCTAAACCAGTCATTTTTTTCACTTTGTATCTAAAAAGGTCACAAAAACAAAAGCAAACTATATGACAAAGAAATAGATATCCACTGTGAGGAAATCACAAGCATACATAGTTTTACTGGTTACAGTCTGAATCTATTTCACTTTAAAAATACTTACCAAGTAAGTGCTGGAGAAAGTTCTGTATAGGCATAGTAATCGTTTTTTGTTTTAACTGAAAACTGGAAGCTTAGAGTATAATTACCTCTTTAATATTAAAGAATAGTTATTATGGTCAGAATTAAACACTTTTAGTGTTGATGGAGTCTATAAAGGAAGGGAATAATGATCAGGAGCATTAGAATAGTACATACATTTGTATCAGTGCAGACGGGGGCAGCCAGCATATATAACTCTGTAGATACGTGTTATTAATTACCAAAGATTGGTGAATTTGGAATAAGAAATTAGATAGCAATAAACAGTACGTTAAATAAAGCAAATAATTGAGATTTAATCATAGCCAAGGGCTATCTTTAAAGTTCAGTAGGGCCGATCAAATGAAAATTAATTAAAAAACTGGTCTTACCTAAAAACACAAGTGGAACTGAACAAGCAAGGTAAAAATTTATGAGCTTGGCCACAGCTGACTGTGTCTGTGGGGTCTATTTAATTTGTTGAGGAGGAAGAAAACTTTCAAATAAAACTTTCCAAAATTGATCTCATCAGATCTTTTCTTATAATGCCATTATAAAACTTTACCATTTGCTCATTCCTAAAAACACCACTGCTTATAAAAAATTCTAAATCATACAGATTGTGAAATTAATAGTAAATTATTAAGGAAAAATAAGTTTTAATTAAAAATTTCAGTTCTTATGTAGAACACATTTAGGAGAGAATACACATATCAAACGGCACACTGTTACTTCTTTCATTTTTATGCAAAAAAACCCCAACAACAACAAAACCAACAAAAAACCACCCACTGTCCTTGTGATTGAAGTGACTACACGGCTGCAGCTCGCCTACCTGGGAGTCACTTAAAGGAGGAAATCAGTTCACAGCAAAGTCCTGAGTCACTATATTCCCTGTATTTAAGCCTTGTTAAAATTCATTCAAAAGAGAGAGCGAGTCAACTGAAGGACTGGAACAGTAAAGTTGCTCCTAAGTACGTCATTTCAAAGTTCAGTTCTTAAAAGCTGAACTGAATTTCACTTTCTCCAGTCTTCTCTCTTCTCCGTTCATGCAGGAAGCTTAGGGCACGAAGTCCAGTGAAGGACGGGTGTCTCCCGGGCCCTGTCTTCCTGGCTGCCACACCAGCCCCTCAAACCTCTCTCTCGTCTTCCCCATCATTCTCCCCATTTAAGTATTAAGTTAAGGTTTGGCCATGTGGCAGCTTATTTTTAGAGATCATCTAATCCATGCTAGATAGCTGGGAATACTTTGTGCAGGCTTGAAAAACAGCTTAAGTTTTCTGATTACTTACTGTTTAAAACACAACAAAACTAAAAAGAAACCAAGCACACTTAATACTGAAATGGAGCTTACCTTAGAGCCGCGTTCATTAAAGATTATTTCTACATCTAGGATTTTGCCAAACTGCTGCAGAGACAAAAACGAAATATTTGCCTATCGTCAGCTTTTTATCCACATACTTTACTGTCTTCTGAAAAAGAGACAGGGGCGCTCTCCCCCCTTCAAACGACCCATTCAATGCCCACGTTTCTACTCGCTGGTCGGGTCCCAGTGCCAGTGCCTGAGTTCTCCTTACCACTGAGCGGATCATCTCCCCGTTTCCACTCCTTCTCCACCTCCCTCGCTCACGCGCTGCCCACCTCTTTGCAGTGGGAGCTGTCTTCAGGACACATGCAGACAGTCGCCCTACTGCGTGCTTCTTCACAGAACCAGGGATGTTCCCCACTATGTCTCTACTATTTTAAATGTGTCAGTTTTAAGAAGTAAATCCTAAGTAGAAAGATTTGAATGCTGTTTTGCTTCCCCTTTTTTCCTTCAATTTATGAAAGTAGATCGTGTTCATTGCACAATTCGAAAATACGGATAAATAAAAAGGCAGGGGGAAGCAGAAAGCGAGGACCACTTACAATCCCACCACTTCAGTTCTGGTCCACGGCCTTCCGGGCTTCCCCTCAGGCATGTATTGGGACGGAAATATTTCCACATACTACCCTTATTTTTTTAACTCAATATACTATGAACAACTTTCCAAGTCAATAAATACGTGTTTATTATTTCTACAGGTTACATGTTATTTTCCATTACACTTAAACATTCATGGACATTATGTATGACCCCATTTATCTGCCACTTTAATTTTTCTGCAGTGAACATCATCAAGAATATCTTAAATAGAAACTCTGTTTTGTAATTAGTTAAATACTTTCACATTTGGAAAAATCAAACAACGCTAAAACCACAACCTGTAAGTAACCCTACGGTGGGGTAGCTGGCGGCTGACGGGAGGGGCCCGCACAAAACCATGACCATTTGGAGAAGGTGTGCACACGTGACAAGGCTGTCTCAGTGGACGCTTGACAGACTGCGCTGAAGGGGTGCGTGGTAACTCTCCCGATACTGTCTAGCTCACACTTCTCCCCGAGCACCACACTCATATACACTGTACCCAGGTATCCGTTTCGCTTGGATTTCAAAGCAGACTTTGGGGAATGTGCAGAAACTAAAAAATGAGAAGAGCAAAACAGAAACTGTGCTTTCTCTCTGGGCTGAAACATCACTATCTTTATTAAACACATGTATTAAGAGCCCAAGTTTTCTAGAATAAGGCTTCTGGGCTTGCTTCCTGTTTCATCCCTTAATGGAAAATAGTAAAAGTCAAGGAAAGAGGAAAATGTCTTATTTTAGGTAGAAGGCCATTTTATTTTTTTCCTATACCTTTCCTGTAAAATTATGATTTATATGGTATTCTAGAGTGTGTATCCTTTTATGTTTTCTAATGCCTCCTTCTAGAGTACGGACTGCTTTCCTTGTATGGTTAAAAAAACTGCGGCTGAAAGAAGCTACTCATCATTTACGGAGCTAAGAAATCGAGCGCGGAATGCCTGCTCTTTACCGATGCAACTGTCCTCAGGAACAGGGACCAACTACACAGAAGAAGAAAGAGCAACCAGGCACCCCTTGCAAGGAGATGTAATTTCTTGCAGTCACTGCCTTATGGGAAGGTATAATACACTCCAGGAGATCGCTGGTAAGTGGCCCAGGCCGAGTTTCAGTGGACAGCACACTTCTGACCTGAGAACGCACTCCATTCTCATAGCGCTCCAGAGACGGAGATGCCATATTATCTCTGATAACTCAGTAAAGAACCTAATAGCTCCTACTTCCAGGAAGCTGCTTCTTAAATGTGACCTAAATTCTCTATGCCACTCTTTATATCTTCTGTTGCTCTCTTTTCTGGAGAGATGAGACCAGCTGGTTGCCATTTTCTGAGTAAAAGCTCTCTTCAAGTTCTTCAAGAATATCCCAAATCCCCACCCTGGCCTTGCCTTCCACATGCAGCACACACCCAGGTAACAGCTGAGTGACAGCTTTGCTCCAGGTCTTGTCACCAGGAAGTGGCCAACCAAGACTTAAGGAATGGGATTTGCTTTTCTGATGAAGCACCAGGCTGTGATACGAATAAAATTTGTTAAAAGCCCAATTATCTCTTTGTCCTAGTTCCAGGTAAGAGCTTGCTCAAATTGTAACAGGCAACAACACATGGCCCAGGAGAAAATTAGGTTCTTGGCCGTCGCTCCCTTTCCAACAAAGGAAATCTCCGCTGTTGCACTTTGCGTTTCACGGCAGCGACTCCAGGAAGAACTACACGGCTGGAAGGGCGCAGCGGAGGCCGCACACCGACCCCCTGTACCCGATTGCAGATACTGGTCTTGACATTGTTGCGTTGTAAGCAAGGAGGTGAAAACAAAACACAGGTACTATCTGCTGTCACAGATATTTCCTTTAATGTGTAGCACTCTGAAAGGCAGGGGTTACTCCTCATCCTGATTTTAGCACTGAACGTCTCACGTCCCAAGCAAACGGTCACCTTATTTATATGAGAATTTGCAAGGCTGATGGCTAGTAGACAGGTGGCAGGAAAAGTTTCCGGTAACAATATTGCCTTACCCCAGGATCTTTCTCAATGTATTTGTAGTTTTGTCCTAAAGTACCAATGACTAATAATGTTCCTGGTGGGTTAAATTATACTTTAGTTGTAAAGTCACAAAAGGACTTCAGAGACTCACCCCAAACATCTGCCGGAGGTCGGGGTCCCGGAAGCGGAAAGGAATATTAGAGACGTGCAGCCGTTTGGGGGTGGATTTACTCTCTGAATTTTCACTACTTTGCGTCTGTGACTGCTGGCCATCTGTCTGTGCTCCTCCTTCTGTCTGCTAAGAAAAGAAATAAACAGTAGACAAAAAATAAATACAATTACTTCACAAGAATTAATGTAAAATGAAGTCCTGCCCACTCCCATTGTTCTCAAATAGTGTTTTTAAGCAAAAATTACAGTTGTCCCTTCTCTGAGGGGGAAAAAAAAGATGCTGTGTTCAAAATGCTATAGTTTGAAAATAAAACGTAGGTCTTTTGAGTATCCACAGTACATTAGTAAAGTGGGAGAAACTCTAAATGACTCGCCCAAGATCATGTGGGGATACATCAGAATCACTGAAGATACAAAAACAGCATCATTACTCTTACATTCCTAGTAGACCTTTCTATTTCTGAGATGTTCCTATTTTGAAAATGAAGAGTCTGTTGTATCAGTTATGAAGATCAATGCAATTTTGGTCTACCGTTTCAGGAAATAGGGGAATATATTTATATTTTATTCCCTCTATTAGTTCCAGAGTTTATGACTACTGGGTTCCCAAAGTATTATGATTTAGGAAGAGGAGACACTTGGTGACAATGGCCACTTTTACTTACAAACCGAGGCAGCTTCTTACTTGGAAAGCAGGCTGCACTCGCCTCCCAAACTCACACAAGCCCAGCTACCATGAGCACCGGGGCCGACCTTCTGCAGCCCCGAGCAAAGCTTCGTTGAGAAAATCTGCAAAGGCTTTAAGGTGGCCCGACTAACCCACTGCTCACATAAACGACAGGTCTGTGCACGTCCACAGTGAAAGTGTGCGAGTGGGCGCGCACTTTTAACCGTAAATCTCTTTTGCAGCATCCCAGGCTTGCGTTCATCCAATCTCTTTCCCAATAAATCCTCAACAAAGTTGCTGTGTTGAGAAAAACTTTTGACAAATATCTTACAGGTACGGCACATTCTAAGTATTCAAAAATCATCTATTTTGAAGCATTTGCCTGACAATTTCAGAACCTTATGTTTGTGTTATTTACTGTGTTGTGCCTGCCAAACCCGATGGCTTGCTGAGCTAATTAAAACCAACCACCTTTTAAAACGGGAGTGGAACCTGCTGTTCTTATTATCTCAGTCGGCTTGGAACTGAGTCCCCGACAGAGTCTTCCTGGTGACACAGAACAAACCCCCTCCTGGTGACCCAATGTGCAACTAAAGGAAACTGCAAATCAGAGATACTTTTGGTTCTGAAGATGTTAACAATCATCATAAAGTCTGAGACTTTAAAATATAGAGGATAATCAGGAATAAAGTCCAAACGTGCACCAGCTTTTCAAATGTCAAGCCGAGTGACAGCAGCTTTTCTGTCATTCCATTCAGGCCCTGCAGGTGGCTTCAATGTGCGATGATTCATGTGACTCAAAAATAGCAGAACAGGCAAGAGCCATGAAGCCATGTTCTGCGAAAGTGTAAGGCTTTCTATCATCCATCTGGGCACAGTGCAGACTAAACAAAACAATTCCACCCAAAGAAGAAACTCACTAAGTTACTGAAACAGCATAGAGACACCAAAGCAATAATAAACATGAGCACTAGTTGTGACGAATGCCTATCAGTCACCGGCCCACGGGCCTCTGACACCTCACAGCCGGGTGGCCCAAACCTTGCTTCACTCAGACTTGAAAAGCAGCAGCTCAGGTCCGCAGGAGGCCAGGGTATCACCGTAGAGAAGTTAAAAAGGCCGATTCTAGAGCCAAGCCAGTTTCATACATAATTTATAATGGGTGAGCAAAAGGAGGCGTACAGTTGTTAGGGAGGAAAATAACACAATAGTTAATAAATAATAATACAAGAATAAACTGTTTTGCGAACTCACAACTGTCAACCCTCGTTTGCCCACCCAGTCTCTAGTCCCTGCAGCCTGCACTGTACGTGAAAAGGCAGGATGAATGAAAACCAATGATCACTGTGAAGTATGTTGCCCAAGCACCTTATTTGTTGCTACTGAGCGATTTTTTACAAACCTGATGACACAATTTAAGAAAAGGTTAGAAGCCAGACTGGTTAATTTTCCGGCACTGTAGTGAACACCTACATTTTTAAAAAGTAGGAAATCTTCAGTTCTAGGAAGACTGACAAGTGGAAAAAATGAACTATCATTTCCAAAATTCTCAAGCTTTCTAATTTAATAAAATTTTTTCAATTGAAGTTTAACATACATAATGGATACAAATGCACAAATCATAAGCATACAGATGAATGAATATTCACAAAGAAAGTACTTCCACATAACCATCAAATTAGACCAAGCGGCGCTACTCCAGAAGCACCTTTGAGCTCTACTCCAGTCACCAAGCCCTGCCAAAGGGTCACCACTATCCCAACTTCTGACTCCATAAATGAGTGTTGCCACTTTTGAACTTAGAAAAGCGGGGAGGGACCCATACCATATGTACCCTTTTCTGTCTGCCTTCTTGTATACATTATATTTAATACACATGCATTGTTATAACTCATCTACTCTTTTTCCATTTTATAAACCTACAGAATTTACACAACTGCTTCCAGATCTGGCTCTGAAGTTCTTTGTTACATGTCTTTGGGTGCACATAAGCACGCAGTTTGCTGGGTGTGCCTGGGTCTAGCAGTGGATTATGTGTAAGTTCAGCCTTAATAGACACTGTCAGTTTTTCAAAGTGGCTGTACTAACTTATGCTCAACTGTGTATGAGAGTTCTAGTTGCTCTTAGTATTACCATTTTCATTTTTTAAAAAAGATTTACTTATTTATTCTTAGAGAGAGGTGAAGAGAGGGGGAGAGAGGGGGTGAAAGAAAGACCGATTGGTTGCCCCTTGTATGTGCCCGTCCAGGGACCAGACCCGCAACCCAACCTGTGCCCTGACTGGGAACTGAAATGTTGGCCTTCTGCTTTGTGGGGCACTGCCCAAGCACCTGAGCCACACAGGTCAGGGCACCACCTCCATTTTAACTATTCTGGTGGAAGGCTGTGGCATCATATTATGGCTTTAACATGCTTTCTTCTCTTTAAAACAATGATTCTTTCTTCTTTCCACTTACAGAATTTTGTTAAAAAATGGGAATTCTTGGTAAAATAGTAACTATTTCTTGAGTGCACACTATAGGACAGACCCTTATCTAAGCCTTTTAATAACAATTAATATTTAAATAGAGTTTACTACTTGCAAACAATAGCCTACATTTTATATATTTTAATTAATGTAATTCTTTCAACAGCCCTAACAGTAGGTCCTTTTTTTTTTAAACTTGAGAACATAGTAGGTACTATTTTTTTACCCTACTTTTCAGATGAGGAGTCTGAGGACTAGAAGAACTGCCTCAGAAGTTACAGGAGCAGGCATTCGAACACAGGCACCTGGCCCCAGAGCACGTGTGCTTAACCACTACATCATACTGCACTTTAAATGTACTGCAGTTTAAAACTCTCACAATGCCCTACGAGGCAGGTACTATTATTATCCCCAAGTGACAGAGGCACAGAGAAGTCAAGTCAGTTGCCCACGCAAGGTCGCCTGTGAAGTGGCAGGGCAGGAATTCTGAAGCAGGCGGCGCAGCGTCACGTGCTAACCCACCCCCTTCTCACGCCGCACCGTGCTCTCCTCTCTCACATCCTTGGGACACTCACTGGGAGGGGCAACACCTCTCCCCAGTGGAGCAGGATGGGGGCAGGGGACAAGAAAAGCTCCACAAGAGGTGACATGTACTCTATACCTCGAGAGAAGAGGAGCAGCCAGGCCACAAAGGGGAGGAAAAGCGAGAGGCGGGGCAGCCCGCCAGGCACGCGATGCCAGAGAGCTGCGGAACACACATCAGGGTGAAATGCAGATTTCTGTGCCGAGTGAGCTCAGGAACAGGAAATACACACTGAATACTGAAAGTGATTAAAAGACATATTTCCCATTTGACGTTCTCAACTTTAGGTTCACCTTAATATGGACTAATTACTGAAACAGACAAATCACCAAGAAAAGTAAAAAGGTTTTAGGCTCTGTATTTGTGAAAAGCGGAGAGGTAAGCTGTTCTGAGAAAAATGTCACTCAGCACAGTGTTGGTTTGCTTTGTTTTCTATTGTCAGCGGCTGAGCAACTTGACTGACTGTATAAACAACCTCTGAAGGTTCTGTTCTTCCCTTCTGCAGTCATTTTCCGACCTAGTTTATCCTCTGGGCAGGGGATGAAACAGAAGAGGCTGGAGTCTGTGGACTGAGCGTTTACACTGAGGCCTGGCAGCCGCAACGCCGGACGCAGCCCGGTGCCTGGAGTCCGCACGTCCACGCTTCCGACAGCGCAGCCTCCCCAGCGAGGCCCAGCTCGCTGCCAGCACCGCGGCGCGGCCCAGGGCTCTTCACACTGCACGGCACAGCCAAGTTTTCAGTCTCGACACCTCGTGCTAGAAATGAGGGCTACAAATGTTCTGTTTGGATAAACTCAAACTTTAAAAATCCTTATAACTGGGAAATGGATAAATTTTTCTGACTTTTCTACAAAACAAAAATATTCTAACTATTTATGCACTGTGAATAAATGTTCTGTTATGGACTAAAAGAGAGCTCTGGGCAATACAAGCGAAGTATCGCTTTCCAAGTCGCTATCATAAAACCTCACACCTAATCTGAGATACTAAGGGATATCCTGGTTAATTCAGGAATAATGTTTTGATTCATGAATGATCCCTTTTCTTCAACGTTTAATTTTCCTGTTTTCTGGGATGCTGTCATTCCTTATTTTCACCTCTGTCAGGCTAAAGGGAAAAAGAGGAAATTCAACTTAGCACAGTAAATTTCTAGAGGATCTAATTTATGTCTGAAACATCTATTAAACCAATCCATTTTAATGAGAGTTTGGGTATAGAATCTAGGTTTAAACAATTCCTCTAGAATTCTGAAGGCAACTCCCACCGGTTGCCCAGCCCCTGGCGTTGTTCTTGAGAATCCCAGAGGTACTGCTGGGACTTCCGTCTTCTCGTGTGACTCCCCATCCTCTCCGGTGCAGACTACCCAGACACGCCCAGTGGGAGAAAATTCCAGTGATACGCCCCACTGTG